TGGGAACCTGCTGGTCCCTATTGCAAAGGTGAGAACACAAATACTCTTGCAGATGTACCAGTGTGTTACCTCTGCTATGCAAAAGGAAAAATCCACAGTTCAGTTGTATGACCTGTTGCAGAACTTTTCAAAAGCACAACCAGAAAAAACAAGGCTCATTTCTTTTTTAAGAACAAACACTACATGCAGTTTTGCAGTTAAATAGGCTTACACACAAAGATTGTTTTGTTCACAATACCAATGAGCACACTTGCATATTTCCATGGGATCAGAATACAGGAGAATGTAAAACTTACAAGTATACTGCCATTGAGATGAGCCTTTTAAGTTAAAACAAAATCATTCAGTACTTTATGTTTGGATCCAAAATAAAGTTTATTGTGAAAAGTTTTGTACCTGAAATTAAATTATTTGAAATAAATTATAAAATACTAAAATTAAAGTTGAGGGCTTTTTCTTGTGCTCTAGGATGATCCAGGGAGGTTGGGCCACATGACCCACTGTGGTCCCTTCCAACCTGACCCATTCTGTGATTCTTGGAAAGCCAAGCCCTTCTCAGAACACTAAGCACAGCACTCTTTTTCCTCCCAGTTAATGTTTATGGTTGCCAAAACTCAAGACAACAGTTCTGCTGCCACTGTTCTGGTAGGTCTCCCCTCACATCAGAGTTAACTTCTATATTCCCCTTCCTCTCAGACATTCACCACAATTATTTACCACTTTTCTCTTTTCTATTTTATGTTTGCTCTTTTACCCTATGCTGGACGATTCTCCATTCCCAGCTGGTGGTTCCCTTATTTCCCCCTCATTTCTACTCCTTCTTGCTCTATCTGCTGCTTATGCTTTCCTCAGATGTTTCTTTTTCCACTCTTCTTTCTCTCAAATGGTCTACTACATTGCTCTCTCCACATAGCAAGCAGGAACTCAGAGAACAGTTGACTTGACACAAAGACTTAATTTCATGTTACTGCTTTACATTTGAATGCACAGGGAAGATAAAAAGCGAACAGAGGTCAAAGGAAAGATTACAGGAATCTCTGCACTCAAGGATATGAGCTATCTGTCCATCAGACCTCTACTGAATTAATAATCAGTTCCACTTGCTGCATAAGCATAATCATTTATCTAAATAAATAAAAACAACATTCATAAATAAACTTTCCAGAACTTCATACTGGATTTTACATATGCCTTTGACAAGGCGGTGTCAGGTAAAAGGCTGGACTAAATCTCAGAGGTCTTTTTCAACTTGGTTGATACTTTGAAATGAACACATTATGCAGCATCAGAAAATACATGACAAACATATGCTAAAATTTTGGAAAAACTGAGAAGGAAATCATACCATATCATGTCTACACACACAGTAGATACATTGAGAGGCATTCTTTCAATACCCTATTTCTGTTGTTCAAACTAAACAGAAAAGCAAAACAAAGTTTCCGAAAAAAGTATCATAAAATAAAAGAGATGAACTACTAACAACAGCCCATGCTCACAGGAAACAATTTGTGCCTCATCCTGATGAGCAGCAGTGCCTCTGTGCTTGACTGGTATCTCCAGCTTTTGAGTATTCACAAATTCTCCAGTAACTACTGGACAAAACAAGAAGCACATCTTCTTGAGACAAATCTGGGTTGGACCCTTAACATGAATCGTCCCTGAACTACACTGGAAGACCGAGAGATAAAAATGCTACCTACTTAGATCCTTTCTGATGCAGAAGTCTCAACAGAGGAGTCAGTTCCAGTCAGAACAATTTAGACTGTAAAGAACCTCAAGAGATCATTTAATCCAATACACAACTGAAAAAAGCGCTATCCTAGACTTTCATCTACTCCCGTTAATAACAATGGAGATATTACACTGGAGGAAAAAGATGGAGATTACATTCCCATGACCACATTTAATCTATCTTGACGCAGTCTTGAGATAGTCACACTTTTAGAATCTACCAATGAAGAGACTATATTATTTCTTATTTCAGTGTGCACAAGTTGTCACCAGCCAAAAACGTAATAAAGTGTTAAGGCAACAGGCATTTTCAGGGCACAGTATTGTTGCAAATATCCCAATTTGATTTATTCAACATTTATAATGAAGATACTGCTATTACAGGCACTATATGATGCAGCCTTGGTTGCTTAAGTCAAATTTTGCTTAAGTCTGCTTTCTTTACAAATATTAGACTATTTTTTTTTAATTTAATTGATTTCCTTCATGATGTTGTCAGGCAGATCTAACCGGGAAGGACAGCTAAACCACAAATTCAAGGCCAGGTACTATCTGGTCCTAGAAAACAAGTCAATAAAGACTGTAGTCTGAGGACTTGTTCCCTGTAAGCTGAATGGAGTTAAAAAGCAATGGGGTAACTTGTGGATATCCTAAAGTCACAGCAGTAGAAACTGAATGTTTGCTCATACAGCAAAGTCCTTGCATTTCACACTGCCAGCATGTCTCAACTCAGCCTGGATGAGTCACCCTCCTGGAGGGTCATTGTGCTACTTCAGTCCTGGATTCTCTAATGGGACCGCCATGAATGATATTATACGGTGGCATTTGCTCCAAGAGGACACTTGTCTTCTAAGAACTGGATAAAAACCACTGATTTCACGCAGGTCAGTAAGCAACTATCAAAACAGTAGTGACTAAAAGTCCTTACCAACTTTTGCCTGCTTTGAACTGGTGACACAGAAGTGATGGGAAAGACTCCATTCTCCATTAGCAGTCCCTAAGCTACCCACTACATGGTCCTTGACCTGTTACCCAGTCACCCTACCCCATTCCCACCCTATGTGAGTGAACAAGCATCTTTGTTTATGGAAATTGCAATCCTTGGGAATTTAAATCTAAAATTCTCACAGTGTACATTATCAGTACAACTGACACTGACTTCAGCTGGTATTACTTAACTAAAATGCTTTGTAACTCAGAAGAGACTTATAACTTACAGGGAAAAAACACACAGTCTCTAAAACACAATACAAACATAAATGCTGCTTCCCAGGAAATCAGGAGGGCAAGAGGGCTGTGTTCTGAAATAGGAATCTGAAGCACACTATTCAGGAAGACTACGGTAATCTCTAGTTATGTACAAGCTTGCTATTCAGACATAAAACCAAGTAACTTCAAAACTAGATTAAAAACTATTTCGTGTCTTTTACTGCTAACAAAAACTCTGTTATGGAAAAAGGTTCATGTAAGGCACTTTACATAAGATCAAGGTGGTTTAATATTGTGTTACATACCACCTAACATTTTAAAGTAAAATCATGCACAATCATTTTAGAAAAAAAGGAGTTCTGCACACATCAATGCAGTTTAGAACATTACAGACTGGACAGTTTCTACCAATTACACTATCAAGAATCATAGGCAAAAGATACTTTATTATCCACAAATTTTCCATTTCAACTGAACACTGAGAAGAAACTATCAGCTGTTTAAAACTACACAAAAATCCCGTTGGTTTTCAGATAGAAACCACTAGCCAGTACAACTAAAAATGTGTTCTGAAAATTCATCTACTTTTGAAATGTATGGTACATTTCATTTTGTGCTTTGCAGTACTTTAAAAAAGAAAACATTCCCTCCCTGTAGTCCATGTATTATCTCTTTCGATATATTGAATAGATTAAGAGCTTTTTTCAGATAGAAATACTACAGAGATATCAGAAGTGAACAAAAATGCATACATGCACACTAATAAAAAGACTGTAAAAACCTCAAGAATACAAATTAGTACTTTTCTGGTGTAAAGTGTCACATCCTTTAAAGGCATTTATATATCTGTGGAACTGTTATTAGCTACATACACATTTGTGTAAAACACCTAAGGACAAATGATCAGGTTCCATCCCACATTATAGCACACAATAAAAAATGATGCTTCCCACACAATTGCAATATTCTCATTAAATATAATACCTCTAAGCATCACTTGCTATTAATACAACTCAGTGTGAATCGAGAGCCTGTTTCTGTTAAAAACAACACCAACAAAAAACAACACCAAAAAAATCCCACCTCACATCAGTCAACTACAGTGGTATAAATTTCTCTGTCATATAAATTTACTCAGCTGTTATACAGCAGGGGATTACATCAGCACATTGTATTGCAATAGCCTAATGGCTCGAGTTGCACCAATATAAAACCCACTTTAGAGTTAGTAGTTCATTTACAATGGCCAATTCTACCATGTATCTAGCTACCCTGTGGTAGAGGGCTGTTCATTTTCCCCGAGATATATAAATCTTTCAAGTACGATACGGCATCTGTAGTATTCAGCAACCAGCATTAAAGCCAAACCAAGTTTTACAGAAACTTTTACAGACATTTTTACCTCTCTTATCCTGAGTTGTCCTTCCTATTTTCCGTAAGGAAGACCTAAAGATTTTTCCCACACAAACCATGACCTCCCTCACTAAAACCTAGTAAGAATGAAAGGGTCAGGGCTGATTCACCCCTGCTGCTTGGAAAGGCTGGAAGAACAGCTACATCTCCTACGCAGTCAGCCGGCAAGAGCTGAAACACATGCTGACCAACAGTCTGCATCTGTATTTGCCCAAACCTAAACAATTACCTTGAAAATAAGAAAAATGTATACATACACAATTAAATACTGCATTGTGATATCTACTATCAATATACTTAACTCCTATAAAATGGCAACTACTTTAAAGTTCTTACAGTACAGTGGCCTTTTTTCCCCTCTACAACATAATAAATCAATTATATGCTACCATTCTGTGAGAACTATGAGTTTAAGGAAATTATTTAAATATTTATCTCATAATATTCAAGGAAAAAAATGGATGAAAAATTGGCTCTTTACAGTTGATGTATCTTCTCAGCTTAATTAACACAAGCTTCTCCCATTTTAATTTGCACTTAAGAAGCAGGAACTTTACTCAATTTGCTAATTACTACGTTTTCAAGCTGTTTTCTTGAAACAGATGACAGCCTACCACACTAGGAATCCAAATTTCTCTAGTTACCTCGAATTACGTAATTGTCCAAAGCCTCTTCCATTCTTTTCAGTGCTTCAGCTCTATTAGAGCCATAGGTAATCAGCTAAAGAAAAAAAAAAAAAAGGTATTTACGTCACCTAGAAATTAAATGTTTGTCTCTAGAATTTGAATAGCATTTAAAAATGAAAATGATTTGCAGAACTTCTGCAGTCACAAAACCCTTTCTTGCACATTACTGTATCTGTGCTTCAGAGGCTCCCTGAAACATCAAGAAAAAACTAAGATATCTTAACCCATTCACTCAAAGGCCAATCACTTTTCCTTCATACAAATTTAAGTATTTAAACAAGCTCTCAGAAAAATCAGAGGAAAGGTTCAATATCCAAGTTTACTCTCCTGACTCCTAATGCCTAACCAACTTCAAAAGATGTAATTTTTTTGACAACTGAACTCTAACTATGATGTCATATTTTAATTTTACCAATATGTTACTGATTCATAAGAACTAACACTAAGAGACACTATCAACCATTTCTTTCAATGCTTCTTTTTGGAAGCCAGAATTATTGACATTTTCATCCTGGCTAGACTATGTTAACAGAGATAGATTGGTAGCATCTAAATCAGGCAGTACTGGCTGATTTTTAAATCAGAATCTTTATAATAGTTAGAAACTGCAAGACAAATAAATTAGTGTCAAAAGGTAAAAAAAATTTTATTTAGAAGTCGCACTAAATTTCCTCCACTCCACACTTCCCTTCACTTCTCTTATATTCCCTTGAGGCCTGTTATGCCTGGCACCTTCAAAATACTGATTTACCAATCCTTGAACATGCTCTCACTTAAAAGATTCATGTATAGAATTAGTGCTTCATACCTTTAGAATATTGAAAAACAATAATCAACTCACTTTTGAGATCATGGGATCATAATAAATGCTAATATCACTTCCTTGTTGTATTCCACTGTCAACACGTACCTTCAAAAATAAGAAGTAAAAATAATTACATACTGGTGTGAAAAAAAGATTTCAGCCCGAGGATCAAATCTACCCACCAGCCTTACAACAAACACCCACAAAGCTTATCAGGTACATTTTTCCCTCTGGAAGAACTAAAATAATTATTTGTTTTTCAGAGAATCTGAGAGGAGGGAAGGGAAGCTTTTTCCTCCACCAGGAACATCTGAAAATTATTCTCTCCTTTAAGAGAAACTTGACTGCAATCTTCAGTCAATAGTCAAAATTCTCTTTTGTTCTCCAGAATGCACAGTAAACATACTAAATTTGATCTAACAATTTAGGTGGTGTTACACATTAGCTTCAACTCTGAACATATCCAATTCTGATTTACTCCCTGGAATAAAACACAGTTGTAATTATTTTTCTGATTGGCATGAAGAATGACCCTTATAATCACACCCTTTCTGCATCTATATATAAATATATTCCTCATGTTCCACTACAGCTATTCCAAGGGCTTCAGTAGGAATAGAAGTAGAGAGCATTCAGTAGGAACTTTGGAGTTCTGCTTTATCAGCTCCATAGGAATACTGATCCTGTGGTTTTCATGTCTGTAACACTTTCCTTCTCTGCCTCACCCTCTCAACTGTAAAACATTTTTTTTCTGTTGCTGCTGTTCCCCTGAGGCTTTAATGTTTACACAGCTTTTTCCATGGCTTTGCTTTGTAAGGACACAGCCTCAATTAAAGCTCTGATTCTGCAATATTCATGGAAAAAAATAACACAAGTTCAAAAATTTCTTTTGAAGAGTCTGATTGCTGTTAACCAGCCAACAAGTGAGTTAGTATATTGCTGATTCTTGTTTTCATCTCTCAGTTTGATTTCATCACTGTAACAATGAGGTTAGCCATATAAAACTTTTCAAATGAGCCATTTCTGGGGAATAAATATTTATTAAATTGCTGATTTTGAGCACTGGAATTTGAAATATTTTTTTAAAAATAATCAAAATAACTCAAGACTGATAAACGCATTCTGGGGATCATCAGGATGGAGGGCTCTAATCAAAGCTGTTGAAGCAGCAGGGCTCCGATACACCACATTGTAAAGGGGGTGGGAAAGAGGGTCCTGGAATCTCACTTAAATCTTCACCTGTGGGAAGGAACCTTTGTAATAAACAGCAGCTCATCTGTCTGCAGCAAGGCAGAAAAAGGTCAATGTAACGGCTGTTAGGCCTTTAATATTTTAATTTAGGCAATTATCAAGGGACCACATGTAGAACCTCTTGTCTACAGAATCCACATGAGGGCATGATGATGACTTTATTATCCAAGTGACATAAAAAGATACCCTAGCAGGTGTACTCACTTTCTTCAGTAAGAAACACTGTCTGACTAGTTTTTAGGACATTATCTTTACTTTACAAAGAAATCTGCTTATTAATAAATTTATATCTATATATTTATGTTTACATATTTATATATAATTTCTTCTTTATTTGTGTTTGTTTAGCATATTTATTCATATATAAGGCAGTATTGCTTCTCTACCACTTTAATCACATCTTATCCGAAAGTGCTTTATCTATGCTTAACTGGGCTCCCTGCTACCTACATGAGGTACATTTAACATTAGCTACCGACAAGAAGGTAGTTCAGACATATCAACATTACAGAAAAAACATGCAGTGTATGTCTTAGCTTCCTTTCTTCACACTTTTCCCTATGTACAATATCCTAAAAAAGTTTAAAATTTTTTATAAACTATTGCATAATTTCCTTTAAAAAAAAAAATCTGGAGTCCCCTGTAGAAGTTTAATTTTCATAAAATAAATTCAAGATGACTGAAAAAATGACAGCAGAAAAGCAATACATTTATACCATCTTCAGTTCTCCCTGTGGTGCTTACATTTTCAGAGGCTGGTAACAGTAGGTGATTTTATAAACTATATGGTGTGACAGAACTTAATGAATATTGGATGAAAAAGAAACCCTAATTCAATAGATACTCATCGTAATGTGCTGAACTTGATAAACAACAGCAATATTTACTAGACCTCCAGCATTTACTTCTGCTTAACATACTTCCTTCCTTTTAGCCACTATTTAAAATATCTAGGAAAGGCTAGGGTTCAAGATCCTGCTCTATCCTAGAGCTCATTCCTATTACAGGCCCAACACTTTGCTGCTGTATTATCCTTATGTGTTATTACAGTAGGACAACAGTAAAATGAAAGATAAAAAATGCTTAAGAGGTTAAAAAAAAACAAAAGCACAATCTATGTCTCAGTCCTACAATGAACTACTAGTACATCAAATTCAAGTTAGGAATACCTACAGATTCTAGTACTTCTCAATTCTTTGCGATATCTAAGAACTTCTTCTTTCTGGTAAGAGCCATTAAAATACCAGACCGCTTATCACACTGGCAAAGAGCAATGCTGGAGCTCTCCAGATATGGTAGTACATGTTGTGCAGGAGCACTGAACATCAAAGATTACTATCACAGTACAGGGGTTTGTTTGTGGTCACTTATCTTAAGCTTCATTATCAAAGACAAAAAACGTTTGGTATTTATGAGTACCATGTTCTGAGGAAATTACAGACTACATAACAAAAATAGCCAGCATATTCCTCTCTATGGCTGAGGAACAGCCCTCACCAGCCACGTACGTACACCAGTTCTACCAGCATGAGCAGCTGACACATAGGCACAGGTAGACAATCAGAGCTAACTGGAGACACAGAAGAAATGAATTGCAAATACATTTGGCAATACACTATTTATAAACTGAACTCACTGTGACACACTACAAGTGTCTGCTAACTTTTCTTAAGATAAATTGTTGACAATTCTAAAATCTAAAATGTGGAAAGTAAACACTGTGGTACTATGGGCCTGAAACACTGAACCTTTTTAGTCATATTAATTTTGTTCTTAGCAGCATGACATTCTCAGGAGAGAAATTAGTTTCACAGTGGCAGAAATATATGTATTAACACACCAATTCATGAGCGTCTACATAAAAATAGTTGTTCTATTTTTAATACGACAGTAGAAGAGGAAGAGAACAGCCTATACACTCCATATGAGCTCCTCAAACCATTGCTCTGAAGCCTCCAGTGTAATTAAAATCTTTTTCTTTGGTACCACGATGGACCACGTGAAGCAATCAGGCATCTCCCACCCTTCATTTTCAATTCACCTCTCCCCCTAAGCACAACTCCCAGCCCACCCCGTCTACCTGACAAGTGACAGCCCAATCTGATTAAATGCTTGCAAGGGAGGGGACTCATGGGCCTCCATGACAGGCCAAAAGTGATCACCATGGAGATACATAATTACAGCTGTCAACGCATCTACTGTCCTGCTGGCATCAATTTGATTGCTCCCAGCAATAATGATAGACAAAGCTTAGTGTGCACTCTCCTACACCCAATCACTTTATCTATTCCGTGGTCCATTTAGCTGACATGCAACATTCACACAAGCAAATAACAGCAGTAAGCAGAACATTTAAGGCATTTTAATTGTTTTTTCTTTGTATGGATGGCTTACAAGCGCAAATGTTATTACATAAAACTCCTGCTGCAGCATTAATTGAAGAAAGATTTGGTGGGACAAAGACTGTAGGGGGTATAGTTTGTCCATTATCACTTGTACTTTCAACAGGTCTCACGTTTGGAAAATTGCAAATTGCAAAAACTTGCAAGGCCAAATGTTTGACATCCTGTTAGCTATTACAACATGGTGAAAACTTCTAACAACCACTGGAGTATTCATTATAAATTCTTATTAAATACACTCTTTATTTCATTAAAAAGAAGTTTGGATACATCCAGTGATACCTTTTTCCCTCATCTCCTCCTTAAGAGTATATAATGGCTTTTAGATCTTCACAATTTTTTTCTGCTTTCGGACTTTGAACACAGCATGAAGCCTTAAAGACCAGAAAGGGTCAGGTCCCTTTGGAAAGTACATGGGCAAAAACAATTCAGAAAGTAAAATAAATCATATATCCAATAACATCTCCACATTTACGATTCCTCCTGTAATCTTTCACTATTTTCCGTGCAAGCAATCAGACTGAATAATTGTATTCACAGATGGTACAGTCTCATCATTCCACTAACTGACAGTGTCATGTATATGTGCACTTAGACTACCTTGATTTTACAGAAAGGCCTTTAAACATAGCAGAAAACATTGTTTGTTAAACAGTTATTCCATATAGTTAGACTATATCCTGAAACACGTAATAACCACTGCAAGAAACTCATCTTTAACATCTCCAAAGCTAAACAAAAAGCACTGGCAGCTTCTCACCAGTGTCCCCAGTTCTCTATGCTTAAAGAGCTGACTCAACATTTCACTGTCCTTTCCAATGGTCACAGTATTTTTACTAAAGCTGCGTTTGAAAAACTTAGGTTGAAAGTTACAGAACAAATTATTTCAACACATAATTGCACAAATCAGTTTTTCTATGTCCTATCCCCTCTCTGGCAAAAAGCTGGAAAAAGGGCCTGATTTACAAAGCTGCTGAGTATTTCTAGTCTCTGCCTATTAGAGAGAAACTCAGCACCTACGAAAACCAGAACCGAGTTACTTACACTTGGCACATGCAATGGTTCCTGATACTGAGACAGTTTACCAATGGATGGCAGACCAAAAGATTTGTAGGGGTCCTGAAATAAAATTCAACAGGAGAAAGCATTAAGCTTTTACAGATGTGGAGCAGATAATGTTAAAAATCTTGAAGTCTAAAAAAAACTGCTATTGGAATGACTTTGTTTTCTTCCCCAGAATTACTTGTGCTGAAGAATATTTCTTCATCCATCTGCCCCTGCAACTCCAAACAGAAATGGAAGCATATAAATTCTCTTGCATCCGTCAAAAAGCATGAAAGAAGAGCTCTGCATACAGTTACAGTACACCACTAAAACAAAAGATGAAAAGATGACATTTTCATTAGCTACATTGTGCCTTGGAAGAAGGATGGGAAAGTATTCAGAATGGTGGGACTGAGAAGAAATAAGAAAAAAATTTCAGAGATAAAAAGGGACATTAGAAATTCAATACTCTTAAGAAATCAAACCATTCTTTATGTCTTCGGAAATCTCCTACATAATGCAACATCAATATAAACTTAATAGGACAGCAAAAAAAATATATGGCCTACAGAATTACCAAATTCATGGCAACGTAGTTGGATTCATTACTTCTATAGGTAAGGGGATCCAGGTTGAACAAAAAAAAAAAAAAAAGACCCAATCATCAGTTACTCCAGGGTAAAGCCTACTAATTCTCAGAATAGCTTCCATGCCAATCACAGGGCAAATATTTATTCTTTATCAAAATAGTTTGCACTTGTAATCAGTAGAGCAAGTTGAAGATTATGTGCATGTCACAAAGGGGGGGAGGGGAAAAGTAAAATAAGATGCTCTAGGTCAGAGAAGTCACAATAGTTAAGCAAAGGAAGAAACATCTGAAGATGCTGAATTATTTTTAAAAAGCAGAGTTACCTAAAACATTCCTGAAACAAAATTAAGAAAGCTAGGCATTATTTTCCAGGCCCTATCCCTGGCAGTGCTCAAGGCCAGACTGGGTGTGGCTTTCAGCAACCTGGTCTAGTACAAAGTGTCCTTGCTCAAAGCAAGAGGGGTGGAACTAGATGATCTTTAAGGTCCCTCCTAACCTAAACGAGTCTGTAATTCTATGATTTTTTTACTTAAGAAATCTTGATTTTCATGTATAAAAAATGACAGTAAAAAGACATTACCTTGAAATATCCTAAATGTGACTGAAAATGGGTTTTAAATTTTTGTAAGCTTATTTAAAGTGAGATAGAGTCACATCATAATTATAAAGTTATTGTTTTGGAATGTACTTTGAAAGTTTGTCCTATAACCTGTAGTTTCAGAAGACAAGTAACTTGCTTTTCAACCTTTCAAAAAGTTTTAGCAAAACAACAAAAATTCTGTAAGACGTTGAATTTCAACTGTCTTTTTAAGTCAACAAGTTTCAGATTTCAGTCAGAAAATTTCACGAACCTGGAAACAGTAGTTAACCGTACAAAATAACTCCAGCAATGCATCATTAAATGTGAACAGAACACATAGGTTTACTTCTAATGATATTTGCTCAATTACCTCTTTTACCATCGTTAATTTTGATTTTCAGGAAAAAAGCTATGTTGAAATACAAACCGTATTTTTATTGAAAAAAAAAGAACTCTACAATTCTACAAAACCTCACTAACCATTCATGTTACATGCTCTAAATCATGACTTTCACATGATATTCCTTGACTTCACCTTGGCATCTATCCACACCTGGGTATTATTACGCCACAATTCCACCACCTACCCTCCTCCCCATTACCACTCATTTACCTCAGCATAAACTCGACATTCAACCGCCCAGCCGTTGATGGGAATATCAGCCTGTTTGTGCCTGAGAGGGTAACCCTTAGCAACACGGATCATTTCTTGGACTAAGTCCAGGCCGGTAATGCATTCTGTGACGGGATGTTCAACCTGCAAGGTCAAGAACTGTCAGTCAATAGGTAACAAAAAAACAGCAACAACAAAAAAATGCCTCTCTGTAAACAAACACAGATAAACAAGAAATTTGACCAGCCAAAGAGCATGTTTATGTTTTGTTCTTTTTCCCCAAAAAAATTCTGCTTAAACTCTGGCAACCACCATCTCTGCAGGGGTAGGGGAAAAAAAAAAAAAAAGAAAAAAAACTTAGCAGACTACAATAACTAGGAGCAGCATACAAAAGGAAAACTAGAAAGGTCACCTAGAAGGATTCGGGCGTTTGCAGGGGTTTGGGTTGGGGATTTTTTTTCATTTATTTTACAAATTCAAATGCACCTGGTGATGATGATGTTTCTTTGTTTGGAAGCTTTTCCCATTCAAGTTTGTTTTGAAGAGACTCACACTGTATTTTAATTGAAAATCTCAAAGTAGCTAATAATCAACCCATTCTGCTACACTTAACATGGCGCAAACAGGAGCCACTTACTAGCCTACCCTAAATCTCACCCATTCGCCTGCTTTCACTAACCTGTCCTGACAAGCAACCAGATTAGCGTAATCTTGCATCAGCGCAGTGTAGCAGAAATGAGCAGATGGATCCTTCAATTTTTTCCCCCTCCAGACTTATCTGTTTAGTGCTTAGCATGCACAATAGCTGGGCTGGACCAGCAGAGTCACTCTGCGCTCTCAGCAAATTGCCGCTAACGGCTTTGGATGATGCTGCCATGGGAATACCCGTCGTTCACACTCACCCAGGATGTGCGTACAAGCATGCTCACATGTGTGCACATATGCACATACACATACACTTCTTCCTTCAAATGGGAATAGAAATTAATACCTTGATTAACTTTAAAAAAACATTTAACTAGGCATAGGACAGAAAAAAGCACCCGAAGATAGGAGAGCGCATCCTATAGATCAAGTAAAAGGTAGGCAAGCTAAAAGCATGTTCTTCGCACAGACACAGCTGTAAGACTTTCCATACAGAAATTATGACAGAACTGCCATTTTTATTATAAAACGCTTGTGCTCCAAGGACCAAAATACCTTAAGAAAACGCACTTCACTAATCTTTCTCTGTCCTGAGATGTCATACTATGTAGCTTTTCTGACTGAAAAGGTCATTGACCAAAAAACTTTGTTCTTTCTTCCTTCAAGTATATGAGTATTAAGGAAAACATTTAGTCATTATAATAATATTGTGGCTTATCAGAACAAGTAGATGCTTTGGTCTTTAAGGAAAAAAATGCTTTGTAAAAATAAACAGATGGCATCCATAATTAGCCGTGTGTGTGCTGCGAGTTTGCTTAGAGTTTCAAGAACATTTTAAGACGTTTTGACATAATTTTAATGACAAATCATCACTGAAACAAGCACCTATTCTTTGAAGGACAAAAGTGACATTGAAATGGAAATCTGATTATACAGTTTAAGGATATACCTTTGGGATTCAATCTTGATTCTACCTAACACATGATACTCTCCAGCATGTCAAGCTTAATAACAGTATTTTGAGAATCTATGAAACATCTCAGTGTCTATCCTGCAGTGTTAAATTGAAACAATTCAATTTCTATTAAGACTTGAAGTTTCTATTAAAACTCCCCAAGTTTTAATAGAAAGTTACTTATCACACATTCATATTTGGACAACGAAACTTACTTTCTTATTTTGGAACCTAAGTTTTAAAAAGTTACCTTTGAGGAGTTAAGAAGAGGTTTGGAATTTTAACATTCCAGATAATTAAAATAGTTTTTATTTTTCCAAAGACTTTTGCATTATTTAGTTATACTGTCATTTTTCTTGGATAGCAATTGGCATTCCAGACTCAATAGCTTCATTGTTGTTTTCAGTTTTATTGTTGATGATCAAAATAAGATGGAATGTTTCTGGAAAGAAAAATATTTTTGTTGTTTGGTTCTTACGACTCACAAACATTTATTTAATCCATTCTTCAATACAGATCTTTGACTTGGTCAATATTTTCTTCTATTTCTTCAAAATACTCCCTTTGTGTCTCCACACAAAACAGCATTCAGAAAACATGTATAGGAAAATTTTTTGAGGGTTTGTTTTTTGTTTGTTTTGTTTTGGGTTTTCTTTAGGGGTGGGGAGAAGTTGTTCTGCTTTCTTTTAGGACTGTGCTTCAACTAGCACTGTTTAGGTGTAATGTAGGCAATTCCAATCATATCACTAATCTGGGGGTACCAAATACATTTTAGATATGTTTTAGTATTCATTAAGACCATCAGATGACCAAAATGGGGTAGAAAAGAACTTTAACCTTGAAATCCTAGTTGACTTATTTGTAACTTTAACCTTCCAGTGAGATGCACAACTCAAACTGCACTTCTTTCAGCATTTGCAGCCTACTTTTGGCAAGGGGACAGCACGAGGGGGTCAGCTGAGAACAACAGGACAAGCAAAGAAATTGGTCAGCAATAACTCTCAATTAATCAGCTGCCAAAAGTAACACCTTTACTATCAGTTCCTTTACTTATACCAAATCTGGTCATAAACAATTTATACCAAGTCATCATTTCAATGCACTTAAGCACCATACATACCTCTTTAAAGTCTTACTCCCCACTTTCTGTGACACGAACACACACGCATCATCACTTTTTCTGTAAATTGTCACTTATATTCCTGCTTTCAAGTCCACAAAGCTATACCTGCTATGGCCAGCAATAGCTATACACAGTAAAGTGAAAGCGCTGCCCCTTCATGGACCTGCTGGATCTGCTCTTCTTCAGACATCTCACAGCAACCAGATTTCCTGTGAGCATTGCAAGTGACTTTGCTTCAGTAACCTCTTCCCGTATATACAATAAGAGACACTAGTGGCAAAGCCTATCAGAAAATAATAACTAAGTGACAGTTTAAACATGGTGAAGCAGGTACAAAAGATAAGGGAAAAACCTACCAATGTCACAGTCCAATTAGCATCCATCACCAGAACAGTATGGAAAGGCTGCTAATTCTCCTCCTGTTCTGTGACTGACAGCAGTCTTAAAGCTCTACCATAGTAGGGTTCATCCACAGCTTCAAAAAACAGTCATGCAGTTTTTATGGACAGTTGGAGCTAAAAGTTAAACTAGCAATGACTGCTCCCCTTATATTCAGGGGAATAATTTCAGGACACATTTTTCTCAAGACTATCAAGGTACTCAGATCTAATAGCAAACACTTCTGGACACTCTCACAGACTGCTCTTGTCCCTCTGTGTATAAGGCATCAAGTTACTCACACACCAGTTGGAGCATTCAAGCACATCACATCAGCCAAGAAAATCTAAATTTCAGTAGACTTAAAACTATAGCCTATGTCACCCCTACTACTGTAAGTCCCTAGATGGTGTCATATACCCCTTTACATTCAGATAAATAATCTCAAAACTAACTTTCAACATACACCTCAGGTTCCAGGAAATGTGATTCACCTGGAGTCCCACAGGCTTTGCTGCTGCAGCCAAATCCAGTATCAATTGACCCAAACACACCAACTTACAGATGCTTCTCAACCCCCTGTATTTCAGTAAGCCTGGTTTCTATTTCGGAGAACTGAACAGCAGAAGTGCACACATGTTCTGCTCTTCAGGCATGCGGGTTTCCTCACTACTATGAGCAGGAACACTCTGGGGTCACATCTTTCTGCAAAACAGTTCACATGTATATGGGGTTCAGCAGCACACAGTAAAAAACAGCTTTTCATAAAGGCTGCTGAAGAACAGACAATGGTTGGATTAATGCACAGAATGAATGAAAAGCACATAGGAATATTTAACAGGCAAACTCCTATGTTGTCCTTGTCTATAGACACAGTATATAACAACATGTGCTGTTTGTTTTCTGATTTATTATTATGTGATCAAACAACTCAAGGTGACCAGAACTACAAAAATTTCCACCAGCTAAGATGCTTGGGTTTCCCAAGTAAGATGTAGAAAAAAGAACTAATACACAAACATTTGGTACCAACTAATTTTTTAATCACAACATTAATTCCGAAAAAATGTTTAATCTACTTCCTCATAGGAAGTTATCAAAGTTATATTCCAATAATCATTGACACTGTTTTTTCAATTTTTCTTTGCAAGGATCTGTTTCTAAATTGCATGGGACAGATGCAGCTTTCGTAGCCTATGAATTCTGAATCTGCCCTTTCTGTGTTTTAAATGAATAGCACACACTTGAGGTCAACAAGTAAATTAGCTCACAATTCCAATATAACTTTCTCAATTAACATCCTGCACTTCAAAAAAAATTTCTTGCAATTCACTAATTCTACACAATTTCCTTTCTGCTACACACTCCATGTAAAAAAATAAAGAAACTTTCATCCACAAAACTTATACTTTCTTTCCCAAAAATGCAATTCTTGCTTTTACTGTATTTAGCAGCAGTACTAAATCCTGCAAGAACTGCAGCTGTTCTTGGTTTTGCTTTACATCAAATTCACCAAAGCAAAGAAACTAATGTACTCTTTGAAGAATTACCTTCTGCTTCTTTACTTATTAAAAATGGAAGGGAGTCTCCTCTTTCTCTACTTTTTTTGATAGTCTTTTATGATAGTTACGTGGCAATGTTGTCTCTCAGATATCACTCCATGCCCTGGTAGCACTGTTAATGGCATCTTTCAGATTCAATGACTTACACAAACAATGTTGTTCTCTTCTGTCAACAACAATTAGCAATGCTTTTCTGTAGTTCTTTTGGGGAGCCAGAAAAGCAGACAACCAGTAGCTACATAATGGAAGTTGCATTAGGAGGCAAGAACGTGGCAAAAATCTGGTTAACTGTTGTCGGCTGACCCTCTTGTGTGAAACAGTGTTGTTTGGCAGCAAAATCACCTTTTCTTTCGGTTCTAAAAATGGCCATGAACAGCTGGTATAAACTGTGTGCAGAATGGATTCTGGTGGGCTTAGGAGATTGGTAATGGGATAAGAGACCTTTCACCTTTAGGTCAGTAGTTCAAATTCAGCCCAGGTTAGCAGCAATTGAAAGTCTTTACCATCTGACACTGTTCGTTAGCCTATTTAAAATGACTGAAGAAGCTAAGTGTCACAGTAAAACAAGATAACAGTATTCAGAAATATGAAGAGTCTCAGCAAACAGCACAAACAGTTGCTTGAGACTTTACTTCAAAAATCCCACCATTCAGACTTCGTAGAAATCTACTCCTCTAACGCCTGACAGCCCCTTTCACTGCTCCCATACTCCTGCTCACCTATCACAATTCATCCTGCAGGCAGCGACACACACCAAGACAGCTCCCCGTCCCCATGGGTCTGCTATGGATACCGAAGTCACCACCTCCCTGTGGTTTTAGCTGGCAGTCCAGACTCAGCTCATTCCTTTGCTATTTGTATTTTGCTGCTAACTGTTTACATAGTGTAGCTGCAATATCTTCCAGCACTTCTCTCCACTGACCAAACGTTTAGCAGGTGACTCTTCACATGCAACAGATTACAGATACCATTAAGAAGCTGTAGAACCAGGAGTTTATAAGCAGTGGAGCTCCAAACAATCAGCAACAGGATTTCTATGTATTTTTAGACCTTTGCCAACCATGCTTTTTATACTCTCATGAGTGGACAAACAGGAAGCAGAAAGAGACATGTTGCACATAAAAACCCTCCCGTCTTTTAGACTAGGCACAGCCAGTTTTGTGCTAAGACAAAGCTCTAGAATATATAATTTTCCAGGGGTCGGTAAAATCTGCTGAAACCCCTGAAAGTGGTAAACAAAAATTTTAACACTGGGTAATGTTTTATGGGTGTATGGAAGATTATTTACCTTCACTTTATGCTTAGAATCAAGCTTACTTTAAAAGGACTTAAAAACATTTACATAAAATATATACTCTCACAATAACTAACTAAACTAAAAACACAGATATGCCATTTGCGTTCAATAAGTCTCTTACAAACACGTCAGACTCTTCTACAAAATTAATTTTTATTCCCTAAAAAGTTATTACAAAAATATGCAAACTGTCACATGAAGAGAAAACACACTGCTACTCAAATTACCATCTTTCTCAACTCCAGTCTACGCAAATGATCTTTTCAATTACATTAAGGAAATTCAGACACGTTTTGAGGAGGAAGGGAGTACTCACTTGTTATTTAAACTGCACAACTCATGGGGGAGGCAGAAAGTTGGGAAAAGACCTGAGACACAAACATCCAAACTGTAAGTACTCTCGTCGCACCACTCACGGTATGTTTTTTCAATTATTCTTTAGCTAACAAGGGATGTTTCTCTTTTCAAGGTACTACAAACATCCAGAATATGGGATATTTTCCCTTTGTTGTCACAAACTGATTCACATGCAGGAAGCTTAGCCACACCATACACACATGTATTAACAGATATCCTTTAAGTACAGACCATACACTCTCTTCCTATAAATTCCAAGAGTAACATCTCTAAACTTCCAGTAAAGAGCAGAAGAAATTTTTCTAGTGAAAGTCGGCACTTCTGATAGTAACTTGATGAAAAGAATTTGACACAACTTGGAAGCTAGAAAGGCTATCAATCTAAAGGGTCAGAAAATTTTTATTTATTGCAAAGCTCATTTAGTTGTTTTGGACTATGACTGCCCTTGATTAGGCTGATGACAAATGGGCAACAAAACACATCACAGTGTGAGCAGCTATAAAAAAAAAAAATCATATATTCAATATCTGGTCTGCCTCAATTTTAACAGTGAACAGTGGTTTTCTGCCTGAAAACCACTCTAAAAGTGCCCTAAATGACAGCATACAGAAGTTCTCTGGTAGCTGCTAGGGCAGACATCCCTGCACTCTCTTATGAAAAGAAAGAATAACTAGTTTTGCTATGCAATTATCCAATCTCATGTCTCGTACTTATCAGCTAGCATCTGAAAGATAACAGAAAAGCAGAAGCAATAAAAAGAACATTGCCAACAGCGAAGAATAAGTCTTTCTAGCTGAATCACTTAGAGGGAGTAAAACATCTGTAACAAATTTGTGTAGCATACAAGAGACACAATGGAGCTGATTCACCAAATTTTTTCGTTTTCCAATCTCGTATAGTATTGCAACAACACTTAAAACGAAAATTAAATAAAATATAAACTTCATGCAAAGTGCTGTTTATGCCTTTTTTTGCACTACCATATAACAGAAAAGGTATATTCCCAAAGAGTTCCCAAAAAGACAGCCAAGTAACAGTATAACTCTTGGTTACTGCAAAATAATTTACCAAAACACTGAAAGGCATCTGACAGATACACCAAAGGGAGAGAGGGGAGAAATCAGCAGGCAATGCAAAGTACTGGCCACAGATTAGTTCGCAAGTATATTTTGAAGTATGTATCTCAAGTAAAAATTCTACAGTGATCTGATCAGAGATTGCTGAAACATTAAAGCAGACACAGAAAATCGCATAATTTAGTTAGACATATTCTGATGATGCTGACAGGTAGCTATGTCTAATGCACACTGACAAAGACCTTAAGAGCAGCATTTATGGATCAGACACCCATCATTTTAGAAAGTTCTTCCAGTTGTGGAGTGCTCAGCAAGACCAAGGCAAGTCAGTCTGTTAGCCACTGATCACAGGAGATGCAAAAGGAAAATAAAGACTAAAGCAATACAGGGACATCCAGACACTATCCTGGTTCTGAATTTAAATCTGTACAAGCTTCATTAGAGTTTCTATGTTTGGCTCTTAATAGAAGGGAGCAAGTATGATGTTAGTTGTGTAACTTAGCTGAACAGAAAGTAAAGCCTGAGACCTGGGAGAAGAGACAGATCAATCAGGTAAGATTGGGGTGAGGGGGAAGAACCAGAAAATTACTACCCTCCAGACTCAAGCTGAAATGCTAATTAGAGACAATGCACAGTCAGGATAGAGGAATTACAGAATATCTAAACAAGTAGTCTAATTTAAGATTAGTAAATTTCTTTAAGAGTTTGAAAGAATAAGTTTGCTATTATAGGGGACTGCCAAACTGCTTAGGTTACATTTCAAAAGGAGTCTTCAAAGATGAAATTGTGAAAGTTTTCTTACTACATATGTGGAGACATCTACAACTAAGCAAGTTAGAGGGCATTGCAGGGGGAAGACACCACAAAACCAGCAAAGATAACATCTTAAAAACAAATCCCAAAAAGGAGACCAAGGATATTCCATCACTAGTTCCATTTAGAAATTAATGGACAATAATATACTACAGCAAGGAAATGGTTTTGAAGTTCTAGTGGGTTATGCAGAAAACCATAAATTAATTTTCTTCTGTGTAAACAAGACCGTGGAGTTACTAAAAAACATTGGCTCAAAAATGACAAGACTGGGAAAAGTGTAAAGAATATGACCAAAGAGATAGAATTCGTCTTAATATTTTAATGAACTATACATTGCCATTAAACATCACCCTCTCTAGTAGACCTGATAGAGCCTAGCTGTAGTCATATGAAATGACTGGTCATAGCTAATTCCAAAAACACTGCTGTCCTGGAAGGCAGTAAAAATTTTACCAGCAACCTTCTCCTGGCACAGAAGATTGCAACCCCCAAATTCTCTCCAACTTCTTAAACCGGAGCATAAATTTACCCAATTATTATACAAAGTCATGCAAAGATATCAGAATTATGAGGATCTCTTTACACTCAATCACTGCCCATGTGAACAAGCAACAGGCAGGACATGGCCCTAATGTAGCTAAAACAGAATGAGGTGCTAATCAAACTGTTGCTTGGTTCCATATTTCAGTCTTTTGGGTGTTATTTAAAGTGAGAAAAGGAGGATAAAGACAATGGAATGTGCCAGTTTTCTTCCCTATGACCACAAATGCATCACAAGAGTCAAATAAGAGGTAGAAGGGGTTTTCCACAAAACACTGCTTGTCCCTTCACTTGCAGTGTACATTACAATAGCTACTACTGAGTATATAAGTTGTTACAAAAATCCTACACCATGTCAGCATGCTTCTTACACAACTGTATTCCAGTCAAAATTTCAATCACATGCAGATTGCTAGTGTTTTTATTGCTGATATACACATACAGTTTTAATCACCCTCCTAGAGAAACTCAGCAAGCGATCATCAAAGTATAAAAATAAGAAAGAAACTTCAGGGACCAGTGGAGAGAAGTCTCAGAGCACAGTGGCTAACCACTTACTGTGAACTCACAGTAGCACTTAACAATGACCTCTCACAAGGTCTTTAGGTCAAGTGTAACAAAGAGCAAAAGCTCTGAACACTTACTTGAGTGCTGTGCAAGGGCTCACTGCTGCAAAGTCTTGTATAGGCAACCTTATTTGAGTGGGCACATCTTTTAAGTTCAGTGGGAAGTGCATCAAGATACTTATGTTTAAGTCTTTGCAGGAGCAGACCCCTAAGTATGGGAGGAGGTTATGGTCTGTTTATTTAAATAACACTTTTCTGAATCTGAAGAGTTGTTTTTCTTACCTGAAGTCTAGTATTCATTTCCAAGAAGTAGAAATTCTTACTGGAGTCCACAAGGAATTCTACTGTTCCAGCAGAGGAATACTTTACTGCTTTGGCAAGAGCTACTGCTTGTTCTCCCATTGCTCTTCGAGTTTCAGGGTCTAGAAAAGTGCTACAATACAGAAATAATGCCTTTCTTTAGTTAAAAAAAATAATTATTCTTCAATCATTTCATCTTCTGCTTAAACTACAGTCAAAAAAGGACAGCATCATTGTTTGAGTTATGAAAACATGTTAAGACTGTCAAATGTATGTCTTTACATTTGTATTACCCCTAAGTAGATATGACTGCATGCTTTACAATTACTTCTAATGTACAGGAAATTCAGGATAAATAACCACATTCTCTACAACGTAAAATAACAGAAGACAACTCTTAGAACAGTGAGATCTATAATAATGTAAATTAAATGAAAAAAAATACATACAAATCCATGCTATTTTAGAAGGCCTATCTATTTGCAAAAAAACTGTAACTAAAAAAATCCATCCAGTGGAAATATAAATGCCAAAATACCAAAAGACAAGAGGCCTAAGCAGAATTTTTCTGAGTCTGAATTAAAACAGTGTGACCATTTAATTGATATTCTATGCAATAAAGAAGATTTGGAAATTAATGAAGTATTTATTCAGGCTTCTTATTGATTGCAATAAAGAATATATTAGCATTCATAATATTCAACTTGAACACCATCAACACTATTATGACTTGAATCTTCATATCCTCTATTTACTCTTTCAACTTTTCTTGTAAGCTGAAGATTAGTTATCCATGTTGACTGCAATTCTTTCTTTTCCACAAATCCTGGACACACTCAAGGGCACCCAAAGAGCAGCTCATCTATTACCTTGGGAGGACTGTGAACACTGTCCAAATGCCAAGCTTTCTCATTCTAGGAGAGCACCATGCCACTTCCACTGGTCGAGTGAATTCAGACTCTGGAAAGTACACGTTCTCCTTCTTACTCTCCTCTGTACTCTCCTCTAGTAATTAGAGCTAGATATATTTCTGTGGCATTCCATCAAAGCTGTGAAACTGGCTGCCCCTCGACCTGATACGTTGATCTTCAGTGAAGGACAATGTGTAGCTGCTAATCTTATAAAAGATTACAAATACACTCATCATATTTCTGTTTTGACTTACATTAGGCCCATAAGTCAGCTATAATTTTAAAAGTACTTTTGCAAGGGAATAGAAAGTTACTTCTACCTTACCTCTAAGTTACTGTTTAAAACTAAAATGCCAAATATTACATATTTCTTGAGATGGCTTCAGCAGTGAGCCCTAATTCTGTAAAAAAAACCAATCAGGAGCCTCCACCTGTCTGAAGTGGCCCCAAAGTCAGCGAAGCTCCATCTGAGGCCCAGGACTGCATTCAGACAGAAGCCAAATGCTGGGTCAGAATTTATCTTTCAATACTTACTGGGGTGTTTTTCACTGAGACCTGAATTCACAGACGAGCTAGAGATGTCTGCCACAACAAACCATATTTGACAGGACACAAGAAGTGAGCAAACTAGGAGACAGTGGAATCCTTTTCTTTATTGGAAAAGTGCTATTTCACTCCATCCCTCCAGTGCCCACACAAGCAGATTCTGATGGACTGTAAGGCAGGCATTTCCAGAACTTAGGAAAAAATTTCTTTCTTGGCAAACAACGGGACCAACAGGAAAAGGAAGTCAAGACTCATTCCAAGAAAGCTACCAGATCCTATATCAGATGAAAAGGAAGATCACAAGACGTCAAAACCATGTTGTACCTATCAAGAATAGACACTGGTAAAAGAGTTTCATAATATTTCTTATTTTGATTCAGTAAGAGTATAATACAACCCAAAATCAACAATTTATAATTCAGTGTGGGGTTTCGGCAGGGCTTTGATCATGAAAGGTCAATGAGTGGCTTATGAAGAACAGAACCTTCTCAATATCAGCTTCATACTCTCTTTCTAGAATAATCATTATTACTTCTCATACAGATTAAAGATGGTTACTCCCCTTTATTACAGTGGTGTCTTCCCTATACTTGTTAAATGCAGGTCTGAGATCTCACTGTTCAGCTCCTGCTGTAACCAAAGAATGGAACACAGCTGTGACATTGCTAAACTTGATCTCTGCCACACAGTTAGGCTTTATGCTCTTAAAAATGACTGGATCATCCCTGCCATCACCTTGGTTAATTAACCAAAGTCTTCATATTCCCCTCTGCTGCTTTACCTTTCATATACGTTGTTTCTCCCTTTTATAACAATGTACCTTTTACAACCAAATAACTTGTCAAATCTAATTAGGCACCACTTGAAAACAGCATTTTAAGCCTGACTTCAAATCTTTTGCTCACACATACACCTCTTTTTCCTTTGACAGCTCCTATGGCAGCACTGAGGCTACAAAATAAAGATTCACAAGATAAAAGTATCAAAAAGAAAAATAAGACCTTACACTTTACTCATAAGAACTTCATTAAGCTACTGTAAAGTTGATCAAGGACAATACAATTTGTTATGACATTGTTTCTGCAGCCAGAGAGATGAACCTCATGGTCATAAATATGCTAAAAAAGCATTTGAGAACACAGCTTTGCCCCCACATCTAAACAATGCACACCTATGAATCATGTACACAGTCACAAACAGAACAGGCTCATGTTTCTCTTAAGCCAAAATCCTTCAAGGATTTCTAGACAAAGTGATAGGAAATGTAGAGTCTGATACACATCCATGCTGTACAACTCTAAGGAGAACATGTAGATAGAGTCCAATTCAACAGTGCACCCTTCTGCTAAGCTCCTGCCTACATACGTTCATTCAAATTGTCAGTGGCTTCAAGCAGCACTTCAGGCTATTAGTTTGGAATCTGATCCTGACATACCTGACATCATATTGAGATCTTTCAGAGTTTAGTGCTTAGAGAAAGGGAAAGTCATCTTCCAAGGACAAAAGCATAATAGATTAATTATTTTGTGCCTGAGACTAAACTTTGAAATTTTGCAAAATTGTTAAGAGACTATTCTAAAACCTTATTCTGAAAATCTTGAGTGCTAAGGTTTAACCTCAAGGACATGGAATCAATGCAGAAAAGTAGAGACAAAGAAGAAAAGTAAGCAGATAGCTAGCAATTTCTAAGGACTTGCTCACTGTGGATGCTAATAGGGATCTTGCACGCCAGTACAGAGTGCAGTATCAGGGCACTGTTCCATCATTCCTTGACCAAGGTAGGCCTGAAAACACAGAGAGAAGGTTTAACACAGCATCCTGAAGCTCAGCATTTTGACATATGATGGTTATAGATCATACTTCAAATCTTGTGTTCAGTTTTGGCCCTCTCAATTTAAGGAGGACACCAAGGTCTTGGAGCATGTCCAGAGAAGGACAATGAAATCGGTGAAGGGTCTGGAGCACAATCTCATGAGGAGCAGTTGAAGGACCTGGGGTTGTTTAGTCCGGACAAAAGGAGCTCAGGGGAGACCTTATCACTGTCTACAACTACCTGAAAGGAGATTGTAGCAAGATAGGGGTCGGCCTCTTCTCCCAGGCAACAAGTGACAGGACAAGAGGATATGGCCTCAGGTTGTACCAGGGGAGGTTTAAGTTGGCCACTAGGAAAATTTTCTTCACAGAACTGAATGTCAAGCCTTGGAACAGGCTGCCCAGGAAAGTGGTGAAGTCACCATCCCTGAAAGTACTTAACATGTGCTTAGGCTCTTGGTTTAGTGATGGACTTAGCAGTGTTACATTTATGGTTGAACTCAACAACCCTATGATTCCAAGTGGTATTCCATGAAGGATCAACCATTTAATGTCTTCTACTACTACAGCAAAGGACAGGAGTGGATGATCACAGTGAGTTGAAGAGCCTTTGTGTGGCATTTCTCCATAACAACATTCCAAAAATCTTAATTTTGGGCATCAAATAGTGCAGATAGTCAAGTGCCTCCGAACAGATGAACATTCCTTCACCCAAGCGGTGAGGCAAATTTAAAGGGCTTTAAGAGGATTCCAACAGGTTCAGAAATAGTTAGACATGTGCTCTCACCAAAGTGAAGTTTTAGAGCGCTCCTTTGAGTTACTCCTCCAGTTATTGAATAGGACGTCAGTTAATACTCTTGTGCATTTACTTGTGATTGATCCCAAGGAATCAGTGGATTTTCTGATAAGCTTATAGGCCTTGTTTCTCCCCACGGGAAACAATCTCTTATTAATCACTCTAGCAAACAGGAAAATGCAGCCACATCCTTGCATTTTTTTCTTGCCAAAGTACAGTCTCACAGCAACTGTCTCTAAAAATGAACAGAGAAGAGCTTGGGCGGCAGAGGAACAAAAACTGAACTAAGGAACAAAAGACTAATTAATGTTACTCATCTCTTCAAATGTCAGCCTCTGTGGTGAAATGAGAAGACAACAGCATATACAAAAGTGTGTAAAACCAGAAGCAAAAAATTTACAGTACATCAACTGGAAGCTTTGTGCATCACTAACTTTGCCCAGCACAAAATAAACTAGTGATGATTGGATGTGTCTTATTAAATGTGCTTCCCAGAACAGAGTAGGACAAATGACCAATGTTAAAAGGGTATAAGAAAAGTTTGTTGGTGTCCTAGATGAATCTGTGGGATTGACCACCACGGACCCCTGGATGGATCCCTTGAATACTGTAACTCCATCTCTGTGTGAACCAAAGGTGTTTCCCTCCTCATAAGAAAGAGGGGTTTTTGTTTGTTTTTAACAAAAGACTGAACTTCCCTAAGAAAACTGAAGATTCAAAGACAAAATGATCCCACATAAGGACAAGTTCAACAGACTTAGCTTTAAAAAAAATTATATATTACTCTCAAAGCCAAAAGGCCCTCAGTCTCTAAAATTAGACACTTAGGAAAATGCCATCACAGGAATAGAGTAAATCAAAAAAGTCTTGAGGTCATACAAAGGAAAAAACATTTCAGCCCATAGCATTCCTATCCCCTGGGTTTCATGAAAGAAAAAAAAAAAACCTCCTTCGACCTATCTCAGAGGTCTTAATGGCAGTTACTATTTAGAATAGGAAAAAAAGAAGGACAGTACATTTCCTCCATTCAGCTATATAAGAAGAGGTGTGTCCAGGAGCCATTAATCAATCAGACTAATTGAAACAGCACAGCATTCACAGGAAGGGTTAACTTGAGCCTTTAGTGTTTCTATGGTGTCTCACAGAAGTCAGTGTCCTGCAATCTTGTAACCCTTTGAAAATTAATGGATTCTGCAGCCAACTGCAAGGGGCTATAAGGCAAGTAAGACTTCCAAAGCTGTCAACCGAAGTCTGGCAGAGTCTAAAGCATTCAACAACAAGAAGGAAGAGTTTTCACACCAAATTTTGGAAGCTATTGACTTGCCCAAACTCTTTTGTAGAGCTATAAGAGGGGATGAGGAAACTTACTGGCAACTCCAACAGAGAAGCCCAAGAAAGTTAAAAGGCTGATATTTCTGATGAAAGAAACACTCTGATCACAGCTGGCCGATGAGAGAAAGAGGGATGACCCTCTTTAATTGACCACAGGTATGGAGAATGAGCAGGCAGCAGTGACAGGCATCACCTTACATATACTTGTGAAGCAAAAGACACTCTTCTTTTAAGTGCTTAGGTATATGTATGTGCACATGCACATCATAGTGGGACCTGAAGTATTCACTTTTCACAAAAACATGGTAAGATCTTGACACAGAAGCAGCGTAAGCCTTCCAAGAAATCCACAAGCATGACGAAGAAGCATTTATTAGTGGGTTTCTATCTTTAAACTTTGTTTTTTAATTTGAAATCTAGGTCCAACAGTGTAAGTCCTGTAGTTATGATCCAACATTAACTAATAAACCGCCTCTAAATAAACACCATTTGGATAATGTGCTTTTCCTCACATCCCAAACTGTTGCATCACAGTGCTGTGCTATAAAAAAATACATCAAACCCACCTGCCTGAGGAAAATATTACACTGGGAATTCCCACAGGCAGTGATATACCCTTGTCTGGCTTTCTGAAATCAGAAGTTCCTGCCGCCCATTTTATACACTTACTCTCCAATGAATGCCATGCAACAGAAAACTAAGCAAGACCATACTTTGCACAGCAGCAATGTATTTCAGCTTCACATGAAACCAGCGAGATTAAGATCATTTAGCACTTTTGAGTTACTGGACACATACATCTCTAGTTCACTACCACAAATGGTACTCAACCATTTCATTTTAAATAGAAATATACAGAATTATGTGGGTCTCCCACAATTACTCTAACACAGTCAAATATCTGTATCTGTAGTAAAATTCATACTTATTCCATATTTTATTTTACTTTTATATCCAAAAGTGAACAAAGAAAAATCTCAGATAAACTAAGCCACTTCATACCACATATATTTGATAAGACCTATATCCATTTTATACAAGATCATGAAAAAAAATGAACTACACAACACCTGCTTTCTTGAAAGACATTTTAACAAACTGTCAAAACACACTCAAGAACAACATCAAAACTGCATTACAGTCAAATGACTATGACAAACATTTATTTTCTTTGTGGGTTTTCAAAAGAATAAAATTTGCTTGCATTTGTACAGTAAATAGAATCACCAGCTTTCCAAAAGTACTTTCAATTACGATGAAGCTGCATCAATAATCTAGCATTCATACCTTGGTGCTTCCTCCACAACTTTCTGGTTTCTCCTTTGAATGGAGCATTCTCTTTCATTCAACCACAAGGCATTACCATGCTTATCTGCCAAAATCTGAAACAATAACACACTGCTATTAACAAAGATGTGCACGTGTACGATCCTTTGACTTCATATTATTGTGCAGAATTTATTTGTTCAGTTTCTTCCAATCAAAAATAGAGATTGGGAAAAAAAAGGTCATGTAGAAAATTAATTGTATATGAACTACTAACAGAACACTCCTTCAAATTCTGAATAGGACTATTCTAAAGAGTCTGTATAGAGTTTGTACGTGGCAAAAACCCACTCGCTTCAAAATACGATATCTGAATTTTTGGGAGCTTATTACAAAAGACTGAAATATGATTAAAACTACATTTAGAAGCATTTTAAGTTTGTACTGCATTATGAAATTACACAAAACCATATTGCTAGGCAAAATCTTGTGTCAACAAAGAAGAGAAAAATCTCCAAGGATGCCAAATTTTGCTCCTGAATTACACAGAAGAGTTTTCAGAAAGAACGGCTAACGTAGCTTTCTTAGTAGGTGAACCACAGTGCCTTGTCTTTAATGAAGAAGAAAAAAATCTTCAGAAACTTTGCTATCTTTTATTAAGGAGGAGAAAATTTGCAACTTCCTTAGTACTTTCAATGGAAACTAAAGCAGTAGTTTTGAGGAATTTTTTTATAAATCAGGTATCAACTACAGTTGAAGCTGAAGCTTCAGTTCATGGAAGAGAGAATGCAGAATCAAGTATCTAGATCCAACAACCTAAATTACACACTAAAAAAAAACCACAAGTTCAGCAGAGCAGAGCTCCCAAATGATTCCATAATTTCAAACTAGAGGGAGAAGGAAGAAAAGGAACTCTGTACCTCTATGAAATTGATGGTATGGTGCAGCCATTTCCAATATCCAGATACTGGATTTGGGGATTCAAGTAGACTTCTTATGATGTTATACTCTACACTTACTCTTAGAACAATTTCTTTCATCGCAGACCACACCTGCTCCCTTTCTTCCTTATAAAATTTTCCCTCTAACCCATTTTTTTCTCATCTATCTTGCTGCTCCAATCTGCGGGAACCCATGCCAATATTCATGCTTCATTCTTTACTAGTGCGCTTCTACACTGAAAACCAACAAGATAAAACAAGGAGACAATCTTCCTCAAACTGTGTGAACTCAACCATATCTACTCACATTTGTGACAACGAATCTGTATTATTTATTATTCCTTATAGCACCAGAGTGAATATGGCACTAGGCAAGATGAATTCCTGCATCTATGACACCAAGGGTTGCTGAGGCGTGAATAATTTGGGTGGATGTGACTGAAAATGAGGCAGTGAACTCATGAAGACAATTCACATGTGCCGTGCAGCATCAGATCCAGGGTGCTTTGCGCATCGTAGGATCAGGTGTATTTTTTTTCCTCAGAAATTCTGTTGTGCTCCCATATATTTATGGAGTTGTCTAGTGAAAAAAAAAAGCCCCTTCAAATATGTCTTGATGATTGACAACTTCAGAGTTCCCTAAGTTACAGCATGTCCCAGACCCCTCTTCTTCCCTGCGCAGGGGGAGGTTTAGCAGCAGCAGCACCAGGGTGGCTCCAACCAACTGCTCGATTCCCTAACAGGGGACACAGCACAAAGATTAAAAAAAAAAAAAAAAATAGAAAAAAGAAATACCCAGGTACTTCCTACCCAAGTCTTCACACATCCAATCCAGATGAGTGGAGCTCTACAGAAACTCATTTGGGAGGTCCTAAGATTTTTTGACTGGTTTTTTGTGATTTTTTTTTTTAATATTAAAATATTACACCTACAGAACACAAATGGGACTCGATGGAAAAAAAAATCATTGTCCTGTAAGTAGAATGATTCCCTGTGAGCACTTCTGTTTCACTGTTAGAAAGTCTACAGCTTTCCACAGAATTCAGCTTCACCAAAACAATCAAAGGAGTCCCGGAATATTTCAATAAAAATGAGTTCCTGTGCTTCTCTCCTCTCTCTGTATTTTTCTGAAGAAGACAAAAGTTCTCAATCCAAGTAGTAAATATTTTCTTTCACTTCAGGACACTTCTCATATCCTACTACATTTCAGCAACCTGGATCTTAAATAAATGTTTTTCAAGATTATTAGTTAATATGGCTCAAAGAGACACGCATGAACATTTACAATGAGAAGATAATTATAAATAGAATAAGCCAACAATATGTAGCATTAACCCTTCACTTTTATTCTGGGACCACTGTTTTTCTTATCAGAAACTAATCATACAACAATTGTCTTTCAGAAGATACTTGCAAAATACTGAAATTATCATCTCTGAGGTGACATGAGATTCCAGTACACATCTCATTAAAAACGCATGTCACAGCTACAGGGGTTTTTTTACATACCTAAGTATTTCTAAAAGAAAATTTCCTGTTTTGTGGGATTAGATGATTATGACGTTAGTATATGCTACATACATCTATATGTCAAAATAATTCAATATTATGTAGCAGAACCTCTCCTGCATGATTCAGCTAAGTTCTCTTTCCAGTTGTAGGATTGCTATTTAGCCAAGTAATAGACAGTCCACCTACTCTTACTTTAAACTCAGGTCCTTTTTTTCAGATACTTCAGGAGAACAAACTTCAAATCAGTTCAAGCATAAAGTCTATTTGGACTCTATTTTCCTGTTAATTGTTTTCGGTTTTTCTCATGTTTTACAAAGTGATTGTTTTATAGCTAGACACAGGAAACTCCTTATTTAACAATTTTAAGTACCAATGCTTTGGAGAAATATGAGAATGCTAAAAAAACGTTCTATTTAAAAGTTACTGCTAAAGTAATAAATATTTGGCATCTGGTCTCAAATTGTTTGTATATTCAGCAGTTTGAAAATGAACCAAGGTCAACGTCCTAAAGCTGATTAGAACATGAAGTTAAAATGATATGCTATGATATTGTTAAAAGGTACCATCAAAGTGTTTGTGTAAGGAAAACAACATTCACTGTACACTTATTATAAACACAACTATAAATTATTAATAGCAAAGACATTTTGTTTACTCTAAGTGAAATTACTTAACAGTTCTTAAATACAGTACTACCATATTTTTTGAGGTAACTTTTTAAACCCAAAGGAATCAAGACAATGTAAAATCTGCCCCCAACTCATGGAAGTATAGAGGAATCAATCCCATTTAACTTAATTCATTGAAGAATCAGTAGGAATCTGCTGAAGCTCCCAAATCTGCAAGCCCTGAAGGAAACAGATCTTTAAGGTGTAGTTATTTGCAAAAAAAAGAGAAAAAATAAGACGTAGTAGATAAATATTACTAGCCATAGCAAGAGAATACAGAAAGATGCTCTAGTAATCTGACTTCTTTTGTAACTAAGATAAATGCTGAAATTTAGAGTTCACTATATACCTTTCCACGACCCTTCAAAAGAGAATAAGGTGGGGTTTAAATTTCATTTTTACTGTTTCTTCATTTTGCTGTTTACAGACTATTTATTTATTTCAATGTTTCTTCTTCTTCACTTCTCCCCCTCTTCTCCTCTCCGGTAAGATCCCACCTGGAGTACTATATCCAGCTCTGGAGTCCTCAGTTCAGGAAAGACACTGATCTGTTGGAACAGGTCCAGAGGAGGGACACAGAAATTATTATAGGGACTGAACACCTCTCCTATGAGGAAAGGCTGAGAGAATTGGGGTTGTTCAGCCTGGAGAAGAGAAGGCTCTGGAGAGACCCAATTGCAGCTTTTCAGTATTTACTGGGTGCTGATAAGATAGAGACAAACTTTTATCCAAGCCCATAGTGACAGGACAAGGGGAAATGGCTTTAAACTACAACAGATTTAGACTATACACAAGGAAGAGATTTTTTTTTTTTTTTTTTACTATGAGAGTGGTGAAACACTGGAACAGGTTGCCCAGAGAGATGGTGGATACTCCATCCTTGGAAAAATTGAAGGTCAGGTTGGACAGGGCTCTGAGCAACCTGATCTAGTTGAAGATGTCCCTTCCCATGGCATGGGGGTTAGACTAGATGACCTTTAAAAGATCCCTTCCTACCCAAAGTATTCTACAATTCTATGGAATGCAGTAGGTTAGCCTGTGTACATAAAATAAATAAAAACATACGAAGTATCAGTCCGAGGGCACATATCTGGCAGACTAAAAAATGTTAAATATTTCTCTCTTACAAATCATTCCACACTATCAAATTTACTGCTGTTTCACTCAGTTATTGAGCTGCTTCAGGCTCTCACTGTTAAAAAAAAAAAACCATGTCTCAACAACATAGAAAGGGTTTATATTTTGGATAAAAATAAATGAAATTTCTGTGTAACAAGTGAAGTTTCTATTGAGGAAACAAAAATGTCTCATATAGATTTCTTGTCAGGAAATATTATCTCAAGGTTAATGACGAACACAAAAATTTAGTTGCCTACATAAGATCAAACACATCACAAATTTTGAAATCATAATTTTGTTATCAAGTGTCTGAAAGAAACAACTTTTGTTCCACATTAGCACATCTGACTTAACGCTAAATTCAATGAAATACATAAATGGTCACAATCCAGAAGTTAAAGAGAATACAACTGATTTTGAACCACAAACTGACCAAAAATGGGACACAAATCCTCCTGAGTTCCCAGGGAGCATTAGATACTTCGGAACAGAATCCAAAATACTGATAAAACCACCTAGACCTTGCAAGAAAAATGTTAAGAATGGGAGTGTTTGAACTCTTACATCCTCTGCTGCACTCCAGCCCTCTAATAGGATCCAGAGTTCAAGCTCCATCCCTCAGGACAGATGCCTATAACTTTTTTTTCTCCCCCAACAAACTGAACACAGTTCACAGTCTTCCTGCTACAGAAAGGCTAGAGAATAAAAACAGGAAGGCTGTATTGTGCATGATAGCCATGTAGTTTGAGCAATGACCTAAGACACCGGAAAACACAAGACTCTAGGCCTTTTTTAGTAGAGTGTTTGAAATGTTTTGAACTTTGATTCATTTATGAGTTCAAACCTTATTAAATAAATATACAATAATTAATAGTAGCAATAATAATAGTACAAACCTGGATTTCTATGTGACGAGGGTTATCAATGAACTTTTCTATCAGCAAGCGATCATCGCCAAAACTTGAAGCAGCTTCTTGAGATGAAAACCTAAAACCTTCCCTTAAATAACAAAAACAAAAAGAATAATCTGTATTTTAAAAAGTATCAGCTCCTGAAGTATACAAGAAGGAACACTTATTCATTTCAGTCATCCAACAGCCTTCATCAGTGAATACACACATCCAAAAACCAAGTTTTACCATTTGCATTTGATTCTGTAATGAGTATCCTTTTTTACTTGTTTTTCTTACAAAGACAAAAAAAAACCAAAACAAACCCAAAACAAAACATTCTGAAAGTGCAGAAAATTTCAATGTGCTTAAAAAGTCTGAGCATTTACAACAATTACTCATATTAGTTTTCTATTACTTTAGCAGAAGAAAATACCAACAAAGAATTTTAAGATGCAGTAATTACGAAGTACTTCTTATCCAGAAGGTGAAGTTCACCATTACTTAAAGCACACAGCCCTCTTAATACTCAAGAACAGCAGAGGTTAGTTGCACATTAAAGAACTGCAAATGTGATATTTCAGACATTGAAAATCCTACCACGGAACACACAACCTAAAGATGCAATACATCACTTTATAGAGCATATCACCTGTACTACAAGTTTTTCCCCGCATTAAGGTGTGAGTGTTACATGGAACATTACACATGCTTCCCTCTGTTTTCTCTTTTACATATCTAGTTACTCAAACAAATAAAGATTGCAAGATATTGCATTTATTAACTTTCTTTTTTTAATGGCTTAAAGAATACTCCTTGGGTCATAACCTGAAAAACAACTTCATGGACAGCTTTCTCAGGGTGAAACAGAACATAATGCAGGGACCCAAAGGCTTCACTGAAATTTTCTACAGGCTCTGGTACATTAGTCCTATTTATGTTGATACATATGGTAAACTGGTCTAAATTTCTGTGGGAAATACAGCTTTCCTGACATTTGGGCCCAGAATAAGAACTACAACACAACTGAGTAGAAGTTTCCATGCTTTGCATCTCTTGAATCTAGTTGAATTCCACAAATAAAACCCAGACAACAGAATCACAAAACAGGTAAATTTACAGTAGAAAAATTTGTATATTTAAAAGTATACCTTCGCCTTCTTTCAAAATTGTGGAATAACACATGCTATAATTTTGAGAGAGTATACTCAATGTACAACTTTCCTAAATTCATATTTAACTTCAATATATTGAAGGAGAAAAAGAGACATCAAAATTTGTGATTCTGTACACTACCTGATCTGTCCAAAAAACCAAAGTGCTGTAACAAACAACCACACACAGCATTTCTTACTGAAATACATTTACAGCTATTTTAATTCCTATATCAAAGGCACCATTTTATTTTGTAAATATTCTGGTGTCACATAGTTTTATACATAATTATTCACAACTGACTTTTTCTTTTACTGAAGTATGTGCTAATTAGAAAACCTAAACTGCAATACTTGTTAAAAAAATGCAGGTGCCTAATTATCTAATCCATACATCTGTAAATGTTTTTGAACTATTTATAACAGGAACAAATATCTCAGGTATTCTGACCTTGTTTGTATCTTACAAAACTGTGCAGTTGCACTTATCCAGTGATAAAAATTAATATAAGTACACTTCACTTTCCTTAGAGACCATACTAACCCAATGGAGATGGCAATGAATCTCTTTATGAATATTAAAAATAAATAAATACATACCCAGCCATTAAGGCTAGAAAAGAATTTGTCTTAAGAGCCCCTCTGCAAGGAAGATGCAGCACAACTGTGGCAATACACGTAATCATGTCCAAAACTTTCCTGCCCATGCTAACCCCAGGAAAGAAGGGCATGGGAACTTGGGACAGGGAAACATGAGCTTAATGTCCCTGTCTAAGCCCAGGTACGGTTTACAATTTGGGCATGAAGAGTGGTCTGTTTGGTTGTTGAGGAGTTTTTACCAGGAAAATAACATCCCTGACCTCTGTTGGAACAGGAATACAGAAGATCATAAGCAGGGAGGTTTCTGATCGATGTTGGGAACAACTTCAACACAGACATTAGATAGGCTGAAGAAGAGGAACTACCAGTAGCAGAAGACAATGATCTCTTAAGGAACGGACCCACAGAAGTCAGCAAGATCAAACGGGATGCTACAAGAGGTAGCTTGTGTCATTGTAAGACTGTCCTGTCACCTTTGAAAGACTTTGGAGGTCCGGAGAGATTCATAATAACTGGAGGAAGACAAACATTGCACCCAACTTTGAGAAGACCATGAAAGAATCATAAAAACTACAAGCTGGTCAGCTTCACTTTAATTCCGGGAAAGTCATAGAGAGCAAGATCTCCTGAAAGCTATTTCTAGACATGTAAGACAGTGACTGTAACTACAGTGTAATTGTTTCTAAGGTAGAACATTACAGTCTACATAGGTGCACAACTACACGGGGGAAAACCTAGCACTTTATTATTGCCCTGGAATGTACCACCACCAGTCTGTGGATCATGCTAAAGCTTCTGTACATCAATATATTCAAGGGAAAGGCAGCATTTCAGAGACCTACACAGTCTCTCAGACAGGAATGGGCTCACAAGTATCTCATGAATTTCCACAAGAACAAAAGTAGAGTCCTGTACCTATCACAGAATAATCACCCCTGCATTGGTACAGGCTGTGGAACTGACTAGCTGCTTAAGATTACTCAGGGGTCCTGAAGGATAACAGGCTGCAGAGCAAGTGAGCAGTGCACCTGGGAGTAATGAAAGCCAATGAAATAGTAGCTGCATCAGCTGCAACAGACCAACAGAGCAATTATTCTCCTTTATTCAGCACCTGTTAGACCTGCTCAGTACCTATTAAGACCTGTTGCATCCAATTTTGGACACACCTAGTACTCAAAGATGTTGATAAGCTCAAGTAAGGTGGTCAGAGCACACACAGAGCTAGGTTTGTGGAACCTGAAACACAGCAAGGCTTTAGTGGACATCTAATAGCAGACTTCCAGAGGAGTTTTCCAAAACAATGAAGCCAAGCTCTTTATTGCAATGCACAGCAAAAAAACAACACAGTGGCCATAAAACGAAGTGGAAGTTTCAAACTGGTTGTGAGAACAAAAATTACTGGAAAGAATGGAGAAGCAGAGTAGGCTGTTTAGGGAGGCTGTGTAATCTCAGTGCCAGGGCAAAGCTCTAAGCAATCAGCTTCAAACTGAGTGCTGATGATACTAAGGATGAAGTTGGATGAGATGACATCCCTAGATCCCTTCAAACATGCACAATTCTGTATGGGGAAAAACAGGACATCTCTAAGGTTCCCTTCTCTCCCTACAGTACATTTATTCACACTGAAGTTTGAGTTGTACAAAAGCACTACTGATCTTGCCACAAGCCTTCCTGTGGTTGTCTGAAGTAAGATAACCACGCCAACTTTCTGCCTCCAGGTAATGATGAAATACAACAAAACATGACTAGGGTATGTGTCTTAATATCTAGACATTTTCTGTATCATTCCTTCTTTGACTGTGGAGAATCTGAAGGCTTCTTGCTTTTACAGAATATCCTGAGTTTGAAGAGACCCACAAGGATCATTGAGTCCAATTCCTGGCCCTGCACAGGATCATCCCTAAGAGTCAGCACTGCTGCTTTAATTAAAACAACAACTTTCTTTGGAGGCAGCCAGACACTAACAAATGACTGCAGTCATTATGCAATATTTCAAGTATTAGTAAATAGTAAAAGAACACAGTTTTTTCTTTTCAAGGCCATCTAGTTAAAAATAGATGCTTGATAACCATTAGTACAGTAGAGACTCTAAAAGGATGATGATAAGTAACCAATAAATACTCAAATGTCATTTGATTTTACACACAAAACCAAAATTCATTGCTTCAGCTTGACTACAAACTTAAAAAAAAAAAACAACCTGAAATTACCTAGTCACAGCATTTTACATACATTTACACATGTAGCTGGCATAGAAATCTGTGTTTAAAACAAAATTTTTAAGGAAACACCATTCTTCACTCATCTGATTGATTCCTTCCCCTTACCAAACAGCACATATCTGTGCAGAACAGACCAAGGATGCCAAACCTGACACTCCCATTTTTATCCAGTAGTTTGAGGTGCCAAATGCACTGCTTTGGGATCACTTGGTCTGTTGAGCCTGGAGGAGACTGAGGGGAGACCTCATTGCAGTTACAACTTCCTCATGAGGGGAAGAGGAGAGGCAGGTACTGATCTCTTCTCTGTGGTGACCAGTGACAGGACACAATGGAATGGCCTGGAGTTGTGTCAGGGGAGGTTTAGGTTGGATATTAGAAAAAGGTTCTTCACCTAGAAGGTGGTTGGGCACTGGAACAGGTTTCCCAGGGAAGTGGTCACAGCACCAAGCCTGACAGAGTTCAAGAAGTGTTTGGATAATACTCCCAGGCACATGGTGTGACTCTTAGGGATGATCCTGTGCAGGGCCAGGAATTGGATTCAGTGATCCTTGTGGGTCTCTTCAAACTCAGGATATTCTGTAAAAGCAAGAAGCCTTCAAATTCTCCACAGTCAAAGAAGGAATGATACAGAAAATGTCTAGATATTAAGACACATACCCTAGTCATGTTTTGTTGTATTTCATCATTAACTTCATGTTGCCTACGTTTGGAAAGCACTTTTGGATCAGGCTCTCTGGGATGCAAGCACAGAGGCTCTTCATATACAAGACCAGAGCTGGGATGATCAACTACACCAAGAGAATTACTATTAGTTACAGTCCACAACAGAACTTCGAGGCTGTGAAGAACCTACCAACCTGAACTAAACGTAAACTGCTTTCCAGAAATCTGCACTTCATTTTCAATATAATTTTAAGTGGGTATCTATTATGTGAAGAGAGGCCATGCTAAATTATATTTCTCCAAACCAAGACAACTAGCTAGAGATTACATTCGAGTGAACATAGGGTTATTTTAATTTCAGATGTGGGTCAGTGGCTTGAACTATACACAAAATTCCACTTTAGAACTTGACCAAAATTGTGAAAAAAGCAATAGAAGGGAGAGTCAGGAGGGATTCAGATCTGAAAGTAAGAAGAAAAACAGCAACCCTACCCAGAGGCAGGGGGCAACACCACAGCCTTCACAGTCACATGCATTTGAAGGGCTATTTAAAAATAAATAAATAAATAAATAAATTATTCTAACAGTGGCAAAATTATCCCAGTATTTCTATTAGAAATATTAGCTGAAAGTTAACAAATTTTAGCTATAGTTGTAATAATATAATAATTATAGAGGATCTAAAACAATTGCCATCACTTGGCATATTTAAGGGACGTGAAAGATGAAGCACCAGTAAGTTGCCACAGTGAATAATTCTGTAACAGTAGCAATGAAGTTGGTCACATCCATCTTTTCCACTTCCAGTGGCTATTTCCATGTCATGCCACACATACATTTAAGCCTTCTTGAAGCACACATAACCAATTGAAACAAGAAAGATTTTCAACTATCCTGAAAATCCAAAAGTATGTTTCAAACAAGGAAAAGGTTTTTCCCCTGGAGTGGGGTTAGGTACTGGAACAGGCTCCCCAGGGAAGTAGTCACAGCACCAAGCCTGTCAGTTCAAGAAGCGTTTGGACAACACTTCCAGACATACAGTATGTTTCTTGGGGTTGTCATGTGCAGGGACAGGAGTTGGACTCAATGATCCTTGTGGGTCCCTTTCAACTCAGGGTATTGTATATTTCTATATAAAGGCTTTTTGTTTTCAAACAGTATTTTAAATTAATCCCATGAGACAAAGCCAAAATATTACCAACAGTTCTTCACACTCACCTTGCATTTATGAACTCTGAAATGCAGAAGACCATTCAGATATTGGCTTTTCAGAGTCCGCCCACAGCTGAAAACTGGTTTATTTATGGGATTAACATGGATCTGGATGCAGCAAGACTATACATGAGACCACCAACTTTTTATGCAATATTAAAACTATCAGATACGTTATTTTGTCAGTAAAAGTTCAGTCACCTCCAAAACAGTCTTAGTTCCATAACACAACTGATGGACATGTACAATGCATCTTTTACAACCTCACAGATATTTTGTCAACACAGACTGGAAGATAAACCCAAATGCTCTACTTTATATTTAAATCCAAAGTAAATCCGTTTGTCTTCAAGTTCTCTCAAATCTCACTTTTACCTTCCTGCAACAAATATTTTGTCAACTTAATTTTGCCTACCCATAAATGTTAAAATAAGCATTTCTTCATGATACGAGCTCAGTAAACAGTGTTGATCTGTGACTATCTAAGTGTTCCTTCTCTTAACATTCTCTTTATAATGTAATATTAGTCTTTTAGAGACTACTCTAATATAAGATTATAAACACAAGGCTTGTATAGGTAACCAAGAGAATTATTATAAGAACATCACTGGTAAACAATGAGCTGAATGATACTTCAGAATGGAGTTGAACTCAATGATCTTTGTGGGTCCCTTCCAATTCAGAATATTCTGTGATTCAAAGGCTTTCCACAAACAAGGCAAGCAACTCAAATTATCATCATTAAATAGGATGGCGTCAAAGTAATATCACTCAATTAATTTAGTGATATTCAAAATATCCCTAGCCAGTTTCTATTAATACCAATCAGCTTTACCAGGGGACTTTCTAAACAGTAACCACAACTTTTCTCCAAGACAAACTGGCAATGATGATTTTAGATCCATTTTAAAACAGTTACTTTAACCAAGCTCCTTTGCTCCTTTCTGAACAAAACAAGAAACTAATGCCTTCCTTTCAAGTCCAACAGATGCAATTGCTGCCTGAATAAGATCAAGGTAACAATTTTGGATTCTAAAGCAGTAGGAAGGAAGCATCCTTGTAAGAAAGCAGGTTGTTCTAGATTTTCATTCTAATGAATGAAAACCTTCTTTTCCTATTTACATTTGAATACAAATGGACTAGAGGTAACAAGGTACAAATAAGCCCACTGTGTTTTCTTTAAATCTAAAATTTACCTGCTAGACATTCATTGTTCTTTTATCCAGTTTTTAGGTTTTGGCAAACATAAATTTAATAGGGGACAGAAAAACGGCAGGGAAATCTTGCAGGTGACTAAATTAATTAAAATTTTAGTTGTATTTTGAGTTAATTCCAGTACATGTACATGTGTGGAAAGGAAAACAGTCAGGTTATTTTGGATCAAACAGGCTTCTTGTCACAAGTCTTTGAAAATATCAGAAAATACATTTTTCTGAAAGATCAGTGGCATGTAGAGTTGAGAACGGACTGTAAAACTTCGAATCAACAAAAAGCACCACGAACTGTTCAGGATTCAGACAACCACTAAGAGACAAGAAAATGTCTGTGTGTTTAAACAAATGTTGTTTCAAAACAGACAAAAGCACAGTAGTTTGCTGAGGCAAATATTTTAAACACAGAAGTACACAATTTATTAGAGTACATTCTGGTAACACTGTATGTGTTTCCACACATAAATTATCAGTCTCATCAACTTCAACAGAACTAATGGCATGCATTAATGTTTGCAAATCACGGCCAATAAATATTCTCCCTAAGAGAGACAATTAATAAAATCAGCATTCTGAAAGGCATAAAGCAAAATGTTATTTACACTCTAAATTTACAGTCTCACACTGGACTAAAGGTAGTTGTAAGTGTTGGTTTTTTACTCAAATTAATGGACCATGTTTTGTAAGGTTCATGCAAGAATTAATTTGAAATAGGCACATGCAAACTTCTGAAGTACATCACTCACTATGTGAAAGGGAGAAAACCAAATAATATCTAATTTCTGTGTCTAACATTTCATATCTGCTCAACTGTCAGCTCACAGTGGCTTAATGGGACTTTGGTAACTGCAGCATTCATCAAGGCAAGCTTTTGGACAGCATCTCACCTGGTCTCTTCATCATCCCAAGCGATTCTCATGCCTTTCCCACCACCACCTGCTGAGGCCTTGATCATGACAGGGTAGCCTAACAGCGGGGAACAATTAGACAGAAGTTCAAACTTTGTTCAGTTGGTCAGAGGAACATGACAACTGACCACATGTCCAATAAAGCCAGCAGACAATAACTTCGTTTATTAAAACACTTTGTTTGGAGGGAGAACAGAGGAGAAATTTTTCTTTTCAAAACTTAGCTGTCAATGTAGTAATTTCTAAAGCCAAGGAAGGCTGTCTTCTCCAATTCATTTATACAAAAAAAAAAAAAACACTGAATGAATTATTCCCAAGAAATAAAGTGATTTATGAATAAAGCATTTGACCTTTTTAAGCTCATATCTCTTTATGAACAAAATTTTGTTCCTTTATTGCTGTTGAAATAAGCTGTGACAAAATTTTTCAAAAAATTAATAGCAAAATAAGCAGATCTTCATAAATTAATAGTCAAGAGATTGAGTAAACAAATCTGTATCTTATCAACATTTCTGGTGCAGTACATTCTAAATAAAAGAGCATCTCAAGAGCACTGCTGTTTGGATATTATGAAATTGAATCAGAAAACACAGAAAACAGATTATTGCTTTTTTTTTTTTTACAATAAAAAAGTATTTTCCCCAAATAAGTAAATAGTAAGAAAAAATGAGCAGTATAGATCTGACAGCATTGTACATAACTGGCAATATTTTACTCTCAGAATAAGATATAATACAGATATGAGTCAGGATCTTAGTTTACTGAAAGCTAGAAAATTACAGTAACAAAGAACATATTTGAAAAGCATATCTATTAATTCAAAAGATTTAGAAATAGTAATGATTATCTTTTAGTACAATCTGTTCATTTAAAGCAACTTCCTGAAACAACTTCTTCATATCAGAGAACTCCACCTTTCTCCACATGAACATATAGAAAACTGAAAATCGAGGATCTAATTAAAAACTTTTTGACGTTTCCAAGACAGCAGAAAATCTTCATGTCTTTGGTCTCCAGTATGTTTAATCAACGTCACAACACTAAGGCAAATATCAGACCAGCTGATATTGTCTGGCAAGAAGAGTCTATTAGTCCTTGCAAACTGAAGACATATTCTGTAAAAGGCTTTGATCTGGGGACGGAAAGAGACATTTGACTATGGTTCCTAGAAGCGGTCCAGTCTGCTATCACATGTGTAACTGCCATTTACAGTTTCCTCCTGGAATGTGGATCTACTCTTGCTTTCTCTAGTGATAGCAATACAACACACCCACCTCCTCCTCATAGTCATCTAACTGAAAGGAGGTTCAGGAGAAGATACTTAAAACAGCAAGATCTGGAAAAGCTTTTTCTTAAAAAGACTGAAATGGACACAAAAAAAGGCATGATACAAGCCTAAGAAACAGTAGTGTTGACTGGAAGACAGGACAGGAGCAACAGTACAAGAGAACATTAACAAAGAAACAGAAAAAAAAAAATCAATGAAATAGTTTCCAACATAACACCTTATTAGACTGTGAAACCCCCATGCTGTAAAACATTCATGTGGCTGAAAGCTGTAGAGAGGTAATAATTAAGCATACGTAGAGCACAAACCAACTTCTTATAGGCATGGATGACCAAAAGGCTACAAATTTTCAGGCTTTGAAGTCTAAAGTGATCTCTACTTACTAGATATAAGGGTAAGACCGAACAGAGCTATGCAAATAACCTTTCTAGAGTCTTTTACATTTTCTTATGAAATCTGATGCTGTCCATATAGGGGTATGGGATAAGTCACAGAGTAAAAATGGGTTCAATCCAGAACTATTAAGTATTTTCAAGGCCTCTACAATACCAGAGATTAAAGGGTAAAGACAAAATACTAGATTGCATACAGCAACAGTGAAGTTCAACTGATTTTCATGAAATGCAGTAAATGTTAACATATACATACAGGTAACACCAGCGAAGGTAAACCTCTGGCAACACTGCTACCATCTGGAGACTCTCTCCAACCTAAGAGGTTGCAAGACTGAAATTCTGAAACAAGCATTGTTTTAAGCCTTATATGGCAAACTCACTGTGGCAATTTCCATCACCTAATCTATCTTATTCAGTTACATGTACTTGAAAAAAATCATGATCAGTTATGCTAACATTTTCAGTCTAACAATATCAGTCTCTTGCATGGTTTGCTGATTTTAATTCTGTAAGCAGTCTAGTCCTGATGTACTGTTCTTTAGATTCAAAAGCAAAATAGGCAGGTTGACAGTGAGCCTTGGTTAGTCTTTATATGCTACAAGAGGTAGCTTATATCACATGGTTAAATTATCAGATAGCATACATGTATTATTAGTGTTGCTCACCAAGTGTAGGATCACTGTGCTTCCCCTTCCTCCCACCTTTCATGTATAGCAGTTATATGTCAGCCACATTTGTATGCAAGGTAGCTAAAGATTCCAAAGATCCACAATATAATTAAAAGTAGAATGAATTAAAAAAAAAAAAAAAGACCACAAAGTAAGGATTGTTTTGAAAAGATACATACAGCTTTTCAGGTTGAGAAGAAAAAATTGCAACCTCTACATGTTAGGATGTAAATTAGCTGGTCCTCTGAAAATAAGGGTACTTGAGGTTTTGCTCAGATATGCCTTTACATACTCCTTGCTCTCAGGGGCACTCAGCTGAAGAGCAGCTCTTCAGCCAACACCAAAGATTGAAAGGAAGGCTTCGCAAAATTTAAGTTTTGCATACGAGTTGGGTACGGGATGCTGGGATCAGGATGCATTACTCATCACTCTCCTAGCCCCTTTTGTACTACTCAGCAGCAATCAAAACTGCTGAAGTATGTTCACATGGATTGGTTGGATTAGTTGTGGGAAAGGAGAGGCATGCAAACAATTTTTAACAGCATTTACAAGTCCCCACAACAACAGCAAAGAGTCTCATACAAAGCAGACACATTTTTGAGTAGGTGTTAGGTTTTCAATCTTTCCCTCAAATTAGATGCCAATTCACATGAAATTAAAATTGCTTGTCAGATTAAAATCTACTCTCATTCTATAGTTTTACATTCCTGTGATGCATCTGAAGGATGGGTCTAAAGATCCTAAAAGGCAAGAAGGTAAGAAGCTGCCAGATTTGAAGATCATTGGGCATACTTTCGCTGTTACATAGGTACTATTAAGTTAGGACTGCTTTGTTTCCAGGGCAGTTGCTATTCTGAGAATCTGAATGGTGAAAGGAGTAACCAAACTTCTGGTGTCCTACAGCTGTTAGTTCCCACCCTTTGCCACCATGGTTTTAGATGCCATTTAACCACTTTTATAAAGTTGCAGGTAGCAGACCACAGAATGCATTGTGCAATATCAGTTTTAGCAATATTGCATGTGGCAATATCAGGTTCTTTTCAATATCCATTATTGAAAAGCTAGCAGTAACTAAATCCATGTCAAATGAAACATGACAAAAATCGACTTTTTCACCTCTTCAGTTTTGTACAGACTTTCCTTTAGTTTAACTGATTGCACTGCATAACTGTTCAATCCTTTCAAATAGAGGAATAAAACTTCCTAGAGTTTCATCGAGGCTTCAGAAATCAAGAAGCCAATAGTTCTTAATGTACAACTTTACAAACAGACCTAAAAGCAGCATGGGAAAAGAGACAACGTAATTAAGCACTACCAACAGGATTACAAAAGAACAGCCCACACCAAAAAATAGAGAAGGAAGACTAAAGAAAGGAGCCTATACAGCAATTTGTGCCTGAACTTCTTCCAATTCCTGATTTAGCCTAGTATATCTGTCACATTCTCTCTTGACAGCTCAGGAGCATATCTCAAATCAAGGGCAAAAATAAGGTTTTATACCTAGAAAATTTGTAGCCATAGATAATAATCACTGAAACACATAAAGGCAGTGTTCTCAAGCCTGAAGTGTCATGGTTAACTACTACTGGATCTTCAGCCTGAACAGACCAGGAAGAAGCAGGAAAAAAATACAGGCAGTAAAAGAGTAAAAATGCAGTTTTACTGTTTTAAGCACTGACCCACAGTTATCTCAGAGATCGAGACTCTGGATAAGAGAAATTAAAAACAATCTGAAAGTATTCCATTGCATATCAAGTGCTTTATACACAAAGACAAATGCATTATATACACAAGAGACTATAATTTCATCCCATTTTAGATCCTTCGAGATCAAAATCACAGTTTTATTACGATCAGTGGTCACAATTAGACAGAAGCTTAACCAAACTAATCAACTGGTTGAAACATGTGAGGAAAAAGCTAGAAAGGACATTTTTCTTTTGCTACTACATGGCATCACAGTACAAAACTTTTTTGTATCAAAACAGTTCCAAGAATTTTCCATCTAGATAAAGCACAACCCAGCTGTCTGTAATTGACTTTAATATCACAGATTTAAGACTGCCTTGATATAATGACCTCCAAAGTGCGACTGATATCAAAGACAGGAACCAGTCAACAGAACACCAGAAGAAGTAAATTAAACAAGAATAATTTTAAAGAGTGTCTAGAAAGCCACTGCATGCCTTTAAACTTACATTCAACAAAACAGCTTTAAAAACACTTGTGGGAACACAAGAGCGAGACAGACTTTTGAACAGAAACTGAACTGAAATATAGTCATAATACTTTATTTCATAAAAAATCATATGCCTTTATTCAGGAGCAAAACCAATTTTTTGGAGGGAACTGGGATTTATTTACAGTTCTCTTCTGAATGTTCCAATCTGGTTGATAACCTCTTCCTTTTGTTTCTGCTCCCATGACAGTGATCAGTGATCCCTTGATTTCCCAACAACCACACAAAGGTTGACCCACAGAAACACTGGCTTCAATTGTGTCAGCCTAAAAGTCAGACAAGCCTACACTGAGGGGTTTCAGGACAGTTAACCAGTCCAGAGTAAAGGCCCCAACTCAAACTCAAAGTGGAAAGATCTTACACCGATTAAAAGTTATCTGCAGCAGTGCAAGTCCCACTTTCTATTAGGCACACAAGGCACAGCCATTGCTTTTGACACAGGTGAAATGTATTTGCAGCTAGATCAGCAAGAGAAGCTTCAAATGCAGATATCTGCTTTGAATTAGGTACCTGTGATAAACCTAAATAGTTTCTAATGGTTACTGTCTCAAAGTAAAAATGAAGGAAAAATCCCAAGGAAAATCAGAAAAATCTTACTGCCTTAGATTCTTCTTTTAGCAAGCATTTAATAACATGTAATTTCAAGCATATGGTTTAGTATTTTCCCTAATATAAGCTTTAGTAAATAAAAGCCAAAACTCATTAAACACATATTACACTTAACCTTCATCAAAACGAGTCCCAGTTTGCTGGTTGCTCTTTTCACCATTCTGTAAGATATTCAGAAGCTGAATAGTGACTTTATTCCAGCAAGCACAGAAGAAAGGCTGGTGCTCTGGATGATATTCAAGCTAACTGCAGTCCACACACTAATCAAAAATGAAGATCATAACATCACTGGTGTCAGCCTCCATATAAAGAGAAATACACCATGCCTAACTTCCATCATGTCCAATTGCAGATATACTTTGAAATAACTCCTTCAGTGAGCTACTCATTACTGCCTATTACAGGCCTTCCACAAATCATGGCTGCACTTGTTCTGTAAAGTCCAGTTTGAAAGCTCAAATGTGATGATTTAAGAGACAGGGCGTTAATGTCTAGATTCTTCTAGCCCCACGGGCAACAGGGAACTTAAAAACTATTAAAACATTATTTGTTCTATAGGGATTACTTATTACACATTCAATTTAGTCAACCATGTCTGCTGAGAGGCACACAAATCCCACCATAGCTAATTTAAGAACTTACCAATTTCCCTTGCAATTCTGACAGCTTCATCTGCATCCTGTAAAAGCAGGAAATGAGACCCAACGTTAATCCCATCAGCCACTGCACTATGTCCTGAGGGCAGTCATATATTGCACTACTGTCTCCTCCGATTCATTTAATGTTTGATTTTACAACCTTCTGACCCTTTTCAGCCAGAGGAATGTAAAATTAATACCATAAGTGGAATGTAAATTCTACCTCATCATTAGTATACTGAGAAACTCAAAGCAACAAGGAATCAGCTGACAGGAAACACAACCAGGATCGCAAAATGATTTTCTGCAGTTGCAGGAATTTAATGCTAGAATTTAGAAGTTTACAATCAATAATGGACCATAAATCACATCATTAAAGTTTGTCCACTACCAGCTTGTTTCTGTCCTCGCAGACATTTCTTGTGTTTTCCTGGTTGCTGTCAGTAGGGGGAGTTGATTCTCTATTGTTTGGGAGTAATTCAAGTACAGAAAAAATCTTGCAGGACTTCTTTAAAGACAAATGGGTTTTGTTTACTGAAGAAAAAACACAAGGATTTCAATTCTGTAACTTCTGCATTCTGAATGCAGAATAAACCTTATATGCATCATTTTAAACTGTATCTGAAAGCAGAAGATCCCCATAATTGTTTCCATCTAAGAGTCACCATGTTACTAGCTTATGACAATTTTAAAAATCCTTTTGTTGATGCCACCTATTGCTTCAGCTGTCTCATACTACTGTAGCCTGGTACAGAAAAAAGTACTGGGAAATTCAGAGAATAAAAAACAAAATACTTATATTGCTTACTTTTCAGTAACTAAATTGCTTCTCCTGCAGTAGTTAATTCTAGTTTCTTCTACTGATAAGAATACACTTCCATTATAAAAAACCAGAAAGAAAACGGGTTAAATTATAGTGCCATGGGTTAAGTTTGAAAATTCCATCCAAATTTGCTAATATTTATACTATCCCATGACATGCATTAAAAAATTTGTATGGAAGGCAGTAATGTCTGGAAATCACCAGCTGCTAAGTGTGTCTGAAACTATAGGGGCTGACTTACGAACATTAAACTGAAACCTGATATTTTTAAAGCTTTCAAGGCAATCCGTTTTAAAAGCACCCAGGTCAGAACTTTAAAAAAAATACATAAGAAATGTTCATACCTGGTTCATTTATGTCCGATAATAAAACAAAATCCTCTTTAAAAGTCTTCAGTACCTAGTAACAGCCCCATGAAGAATAAGGGGGCTGGCAGGGGAAGTTGTCAGAAAATTTAATTTCCTTTCATTAGCTAGTCTGCTCCACAAATCGGTGCTTGTTAAGTTCAAAGCAGTCCTGAAAGCAACATCAGTTTTAAGTCTTTTTACTTCAGTCACATCTGTTAATGAGATTTTTCCAAATAACAATTGTTTTTAAGTCAAGAGATAAATCTAGCAAAAAAAACAACCCCCCCGAAAAAAAAAAATCTCAGGGTTTACTGTTTTATTACACCTTGCTGCTTTCCATGACCCTGCACCCTCCAAATTTTAGCTAAAAAGGGATAAAATGCATGAAAAGGGTCATTTAAGAATGTTAGTGGTTTCCACACATTGAGTTTGAAGGTTCTTTGTTCCTGCCTGTGACAGTTATGCGAGAATACTTCCCCTTAATAGCCTCTCTGTCAGGAAGTGTTAAACCTGCCAAATGCAGACAATTAGAGCCTCTTGAACAAAATGCAGGAAGAGTGATGACTGATGAAGAGCTACGATTATAGTCGAGAAGGAAACTTTTACATTTCTTTTCTCTTGCAAATTCACCCATATATTTGCAAAACAGAATTAAGGGGGGGGAAGCAAACAGGGTAATTTTTTTTCACTTAGTTACCTGCAAACAAGTGGCTAACTGATACACTGCAGTCTACTGCAGTCCACTGCAGGAAGACAAGCTGCAAATCATTATAGGGGAACTTTTCACTGCCACTGTATTTTTATACATGCATACAACAACTTTAAGTAATAAGCGGCATCGTATCAGCAGCACTAATTGTGTCACTTCTGGCTTGAAAAGACTGCCCCCCAGCACAGTTATTAATTTACAATGTTTCAACATCTGTTTCTTTTACAGTTCTAATATACTAGAATCCGAACGCTGAAATACAAGGGGGAAAAAAAAAATCAATGCATACTCAAATTCTTTAGCCTTCGAAGAGAATTTCCAAACCAGAAAACAAAAATATGCTGCGCTTTAAAGAGAAAAATTAATGCACAAAAAAACCGGAACAACTGACATATTGAAGTCTCTGGTAAGTTTTTTAATCTTTTTCCCTAAGAAAGTATGTTTTAGTATCATGAATTTCACTTGTGGATTACATAAATACAGAATCAGTTCGAGTACTCAGAAAAGGTTAGGATGGTTATTTTAGATTTTTGGTGCATAGAACTTATGGTATTCAACATTTGCCCAAAGAGAGCAAAAAACTGAATGCTATGACACTGCCTAACACACAAGTCCATATGTGCAAAATATACAAAGCCACACTGGAACTAAAAGCATTCTGAATTATTTTTTTAAAAGCAAGAGTCCTCAATGATTTACTGCTGTTTCCTCCAAAAACACATTAGCTACACTACCATTTTCCCAAAATAAATTGGAGACTGTAAAGAAATATATAATTTTAGCACCACCTTTTATTGTACAAATAAAAATGTTCAAGTAACGGTAGAAGTTTATAAAAATCCTAAGAGTTATAAAATGATGTCATACTGTTTTTACAAATAGGTGATTCCATTGAGTTAGGGATACATAAAATACTCATTTAGCATAAGAATTCCTAACCTCCTAATTTCATGTACATGCCTCTCAGCCAGGTACCAGCAGGTAGAGACAGAAAAGCAAAACTGTTCTTGATGTAAAGGAATGCTAGGATAAAGCTGTTTTTTAAGAGACTCCTAGAACTGTAGAACATTGTATTAATTATGAAGAACTACATAACAGTTCTCATGGCTGAGGGCATTGGCCTTAGAGAACCTCCAGTTCATGTCTAGTCTCCTACCATCTCTTCAGCAATACAGTGATCAATTCAATACCAATACCAATACCCCAATGCAAAACTCATCCAAAACAGGTACCCAAAATTACTGTTAATTACAGTAAATTCAGAGCCCTGCTGAAGACCTTTAATGTGTCTACTGACATCAGTGAAACTAAGCAGACACAGAGACATTATTCTTCTGGGTCTACATCCAGCTGTGTTCTACCAGCCATAAAACCAGATTGTATGTGGTGAAACAATACAAAAATCATTCTTCCCCTGCCATTCCTTTGCCAGTTTTTCACCATGACATGTCCTTATACTCATTACTCAGCATCTACTTTCCCTTGTCACCTATTCCCCTTTACTTATTTACAGTCAATACATCATCTGAGCTCCAACTTGAGTACAGCCATTGCTCACAGGATTAATGCTAATTCTTTTGATCAAGACTGTTTACCACTACCTCTTCCAATCGGGTTTTAGAAAACTAACTGTAGTTACAATTAGCAGTAGTTAATTTTGAAATTAATTACTTTCAAATGCTCTCTGGCTGACAGCACGAGACTCTGGTTCCTTACATGTGTAGACTGGATAACCCTTGCCCCAGCCAACTGAGAAACTTATCCAGGGATGAGAAGAAAATTACTCTTCATAAAACTGCCCTCTCCACTCCCATTCCACATCTTTCCATTCTCAGTTTCATATTTCAAATGCTAGAGCATCTGCCTGTATGAGAATAGTTAGTTGTGTCTGTTATGCCAAGCATCCTCCTCTTCAATCCTTCCAGGTCTTTAAGTATACTGTTAAAGGGCTTCCTTCTTTTACATTTAATTTCTACTCACTGGGAATTTTTCTGCATGCAGCTTCTCCAAGACAATACAAAAGCTTAGCAACTACAGTGCCTCCTATGTGTAAGTGCTAAGCAACATAAATAACAGAGGAAAAACGTTCTTTATTCATGAGGGACCTAAGTATCTGCAGCACTATTTAACAAACTCTTCTAGTAACCAAGATTTTCAGTGCAGTTCTGAGGTGAATAATGAAGTTGAATAAAATAAAGTTATTACTCTGTATTTGCTTTAAGTATTAATGCACAAAGAATATGTGCAACAGATCTGTCTTAATTTCTGGTATTGTCAGAGGCATCAATACAGTTTTCTTCCAGCTTCACTAGAGTCTACTCTAAAGATGAAGCCATCTATAATCAACTCAAGTGTCAACCCGACATTTAACTCCTTTCAAAGACCTTTAAAATTTTTATTTCTCAAGAAATAAAACCCTCAAAGATTTTGAAAGATTCATAACTGATCAAAATAGGTCTCCCAGGAATGACAAAAATCCTGAACAGCCTCCAAGTCTTTGTGTGTTGCTCCTCTGAGGCACATATTTAGATCCATAGCAACTACGACAATATCAATTATCAGAAGCTTTATTTCCTAGAATTGGTAATCAAAGCACTGGTTAACCTAAAATTTTCAGCTCCCCTTTCTGATGGAAACTACAATGCTGGCGTCTGTGGACTTTCCTTTTTCTTATTTGGTGGGTATACTGCAAGTTGTTTTTTGGGTTTAGTTATGTATTCTTTTTCATCAACACTCTTCAAATAATTAGAACTGGTGCAAGGCTGAGGTACGTGAAACTGATATGATATGGACACCTTGGGGTTAAGCAACTACCACATAGTTCCTTTCAATAGCAGAAGATTGGAGTTGTCAACTCAATCCTACATTCCAGTTCATTTGCTTTTAAGGGTATCGTTGCATATAGCCCATTGCCAACCAGATCACTTACACTTCCCTTTCATGTTAGGAAATTCAGATAATTGTCAAAAACAATGCAAGTAAAGGTTTTGGAAACAACTGCATACAAGTAAGTAGATCAGTTTCACTGGTTCTATGTCTACCTGTTTCATTATCCTATTTTGTCATATTTGTTTCTTGGTACTAGAGGAATAACAGACCTTTACATAATATTTAACTGATAAAGTGAAAAAAACCAGTATTTTGAGTATTTGCTTCTGCATTAGAGGAATTTTTGTGGTGTTTAAATGACTAACTCACAGTTATCTCCTAATTAGATGTTTTTGTAGAAGTTATTTTTCAGGATTTCTAGGAGGAGATACAGGATGTCAGATAGAACAGAGAACCTTAAGCACAACAGCTTGGCTGCTGTTAAATGTTATAAGTACTAAAGGACCACATACACAAGGACTGCTAAAACATGCCACAAAAACCTGAGAGAGTACAGTGTTCAACTTGCCACTGCCAGACTTCAGCATAGGCACAAGTGCCAGCCTAACACTCATATGGAGCTCTCCAGAAAAGAAAGAAGTCTTTCCACTTTTACCTCTTGCAGCATATCCCACTACCAGTCATTACACAGACCACACATTTCCATCACAAGTACTGAAAAGTTCTCTTGGGCATTTTGACATCAGCTATTTTGTGATTTTATCATTCTCTCTCACTAGTCAAGTTCTCCAGGCAGCCTCACTGAAAGAGGTAATTTTGTAGAGGCTCAGTCCCTTAGCGCTCTACTTACCTTTCTCATTTAGTTGGGTTTTGGGTTGGCTTTTTTCCTCTTAAGAGTCTAAAATCCAACTTAGCTAACACTCTTTTTCATGCATCTCAAAGTTTCACTCAAACTTTATTTGAAAAAAAAAAATCTAACTTGACATGTAAAGCATAAAAATTTCAATATAGGAAGTCAACATTTTATAATACACAAAAGTTTTAAGTGTATACAATAAAGGTTTTAAAAGAGAAAAGCATGTTTTAACTACATTAACAGAGATAATATAACAAGACATGCAGGAAAGCTTTTAAGAGCCCAGTACTTAATCACTATAGCACAAAATAAATGAAAACTAAAATTTACTTTAACTCTACAAACTACAAAAATATTTTTGATGTTTCTTTAGAGAACTGTTGAAAATCATTCCTTCTAAAACCACAGGAAGAACACTAGCTGTAGATTCTGACAAAGAGCCACTAACTTCCCCCATCCTCGCCCCGAGTTTTGCAACACATGAAAATCTGCACCATCAGCAGAGACCATAAAATGGAAACCTGACGCCCTTTAACAAGCTCCAGTGTTAAACTCAGGACTGTCAAGATGTTGGCCAACAAGAAGACCTGAGAAATGTAAAGATATGCAGATAGTTGAATCCACATCTGGCATTTAATACATTTAGCTGCCCTCATGTTAAATTTAAAATATTTTTAGAGACTCCACTGAAGAACTCCTTAATACATCATTTATTATCACGGATTTTCTCTTCTTTTCCAAAGCTTTCTTGCTAGCAAAAATCTGTACTCCATTTTTAATTACATCTTACTGAAAAAGAAGATAGAATTATAATTAGATTCTGCATCAGACCTTCAATAGGTGTACTTTGATTTAGACACTGTTCCTACAGTGGGCAGACAGTAATTAAATGATTTCTCACCTTGACTACTCCATCAAAGCCAGGGATCGTGTTGACCTTTGCATTCTTGGCTAACAATTTGCTTTCAATCTTGTCTCCCATAGCTTGAATAGCATGTGTGTCAGGTCCAATGAAGGTGACACCTTCCGATGCCTGTGAAGACAACAAAACTTTAGGAGACAAAAATAAAAATCAGCTTTTCTTTACACAGGTATTTTTCTCCTTTTGAACTGATTAATACAGTAATGTTTATAAAACAGTAATCTGTTTATGTAACAACCTAGCAATATACTCACATTTCAGACAGTTCATTAAAAATGTGTATGACCTTGTGAAACTATGTATACACATAGATTCAAAGCCCCTATAATTAGCATTTGTATAAATCAAAGCCAGGCCAGAGAAAAATAGCTGCAAGTGAAGGTACTCCAGTCTGAAAGTTCAAAATATCCCTTTAGAAAATAGAGGCTAGTTAACTCACCCCTGAAACAGCCGTAAGTGATTTACAAAGACACACTTGCTAAACTCTAATAGTTTAAAATTCTATTTATTATGCATTCCTAAAATCAAACCTCAATGAAACATCACAACGAAAATGTAGTCTCTTACTCAACATATTTAAGATCTTGAAAGGTAATAAGTGAAAACACATTTCCCGATTCTTTTAGGAAACTCTCTTGTCCAATACTAATGTGGAAACAGGTTAACATAATATACTTAAATACTTCAATTTCAATATGTAGGTAGAACACTGAATTGCATTTTTCTTCCTCCTGTTTCTCTATACCAACAACAGACTTCAGAAAGATGATTCAGATACAGGCATTTTTTCAAACCTCTTCAGGTCAGTACTATACTAAGTTAAAGGCAATTCTATCAGAACTATTCCCTGAAAGTTACTGATTCATCAACAAGTACACGCGTGTTTCAGGCAACTGAACAGCTTTTGTACCAGATGAGGAGAAAAAGGCATGGGGGGAGAAGATTAAAAAAAAATTCAAGCCTTGCACAATGTTTCCAACTGTTACATTCCTTTTTCTCTTTCCCAACTCTAAGACACCTGCAAAATGCCTAAAAACAAACTTGTTTCTAGCCAATGGGCAGCTTACTTAATACCAACACTGACAAAATGGCAAATAGCCAATTTCTTATATCTCAACTTATGTCTTAATATTTTGCCTTTTTGACATATCCTTGTGCTGTATATAGTATGGCCAGTCTTCGCGAACGACAATTTGGGAAAGGTCATTACCCTTCGAGCCTGCGCAGTGGATTTTTTAGGTGAGACACAGTGTGCGCTGAACTGAGCCCACCCTTTAATCCTAAGGTTCAACTGCCGGGGCCAAGCGAAGCTTGGACAGTGGCAGCGAGGTCCTCAGGATGTAGGTTTGTTTAGAGTGACCTTCTCTTAGATGGATGGCCTTACAGGGCCGATGAGCTCCATCTGCCCGGAGGGGTTCCCTGACCAGGAATCGAACCTGGGCCGCGGCGGTGAGAGCGCCGCATCCTAACCACTAGACCACCAGGGGGCCTTGTGGTGTATATACCATGCAGTTAAAGTCACTAACAATAAAAAGTCATTGTTGAAGCTTTCTGCACTTGTGATGGTAGTACATGATCCAATCCCTGAACACAGGAATCACAGGATATGCTGAGTTGAAGAGGATCCACAAGGATCATTGAGTCCAACCCTTAGCCCTGCACAGGAACATCCCCAAGAGTCACACCATCTGTCTGAGAGGATCATCCAAACACCTCGAACTCTGTCAGGCTTGGTGCTGTGACACTTCCCTGGGGAGCCCGTTCCAGTGCCCAACCACCCTCCGGGTGAAGAACATTTTTCTAATATCCAACTTAAACCTCCCCTGACACAACTTCAGGCTGCTCCCTTGGGTCATGTCACTGGTCACCACAGAGAAGAGATCAGTACCTGCCCCTCCTCTTCCCCTCACAAGGAAATTCTAACTGCAATGAGGTCTCCCCTCCATCTCCTCCAGGCTCAACAGACCAAATGACCTCAGCCACTCCTCACACGGCTTCCCCTCAAGGCCCTTCACCATCTTCATTGCCCTCCTTTAGACACTCTCTAAGAGCTGTATATCTTTCTTATATTTCAGTGCCCAAAACTGCACACAATATTCAAGGTGAGGCTGCACCAGTGCAGAGCAGAGTAGAACAATCCCCTCCCTCGACTGGCTGGTGATGCTTTGCCTGATGCACCCCAGGACACGGTTGGCCCTCCTGGCTGCCAGGGCACTGCTGACTCACATTCAACTTCCCATCAACCAGGACCCCCAGGTCCCTTTCCATGGCACTGCTTTTCAGCACCTCATTTCCCAGCCTGTCTGTACATCCGGGGTTGCCCCATCCCAGGTGCAGAATCCGGCACTTTCCCTTGTTGAACTTCATATGGTTGGTGATTGCCCAGTCCTCTAATTTGTCCAGGTCCATCTGCAGGGCCTCCCTGCCTTCAAGGGAGTCAACAGCTCCTCCCAGTTTTGTGTCATCTGAAAACTTGCTTAGTATCCCTTCCAGTCCTGTGTCCCAGTCATTTATGAAGATGTTGAAGAGCACAGGGCCTAAGACAGAGCCCTGTGGAACTGGTGACAGGTCACCAGTCTGATGTTACCCCATTCACTATTACCCTCTGTGCTCCATCCATGAGCCATCTGCACACCCATCACATGATCTGTTTATCCAGATGGATCCTGTGAGAGAAAGTATCAAAAGCTTTACTGAAATCCAAAAAGATTATATCAACTAGCTTCCTTCCCTTGATCAGCTAGGTGGTCATAAAAGGAAATCAGGTTGCATAAGCAGGACTTCCTTCTCATGAAGCCATGCTGGCTCTGACCAATGACTGTGTTGTCTTTCAGGTGTTTTTCAATACTTCCCAAAATAATCTGCTCCATAACTTTACCAGGTAAGTAAGTGCCTCATAAGAAGTGAGACTGACAGGCCTGTAGTTTCCAGGGTCCTCCTTCTTGCCCTTCTTGAAGATCAGGACAACGTTCACCAGCTTCCAGTCAGCTGGGACCTTCTCCAGATTCCCAAGACTGCTCAAAAATCATCGAGAGCAGTTTTGCAATGACATCAGCAGCTCTTTGAAGATTCGGGGACAAATCACATCATTCCCCATAGATTTGTAGGGATCCAGCTGAAACAGCAGATCCCACACAGTTTCAGGGTTGACTGGGAGTTGGTCATTCTCACAGTCACGATCCTCCAGCTGAGGGCACTGAGACCCCCTTGGTCCTTCATCCGTGTTGAAGACAGGCAAGGAAAGTGTTAAACACCTCTGCCTTGTCTCTGACCCTGTTTGTGAGGTGACCATCTGTAAGAGGACAATGATATTTCTATACTGCCTATTGCCATTAATGTATTTGAAAAAGCTCTTTTTATTGCCACTCACATTTCTGGCAGCTTCAACTCCAGTTGAGCTTTGGCCGCATGAATTTTCTCCCTACAGTGGCAAGCAGCATCTCTGAATTCTTCCCATGTCACTTGATCTTGCTTCCCCTGGGCATACACGTTCCTTTTTTGCGTTATTTCTAAGACAAGATCCCTGCTCAGCCAAGCCAACCTTCTGCCTTGTCTGCTTGACTTCTGACACTTGGGAATTGTCTGCTCCTGTGCCCTTAGGAGGTGATGCTGTTTTTTAAAGTTGGGGAACAACATCCTTCTATTCATGATCTTACAAGACCTGAGAGATCCCAACATGCTTGGGAGTCATCACTTTCACTGTCAGCAGCTTCTTAGCATGAAGAGTATAACAGCAGAAGCTCTGAGCAGGCAAGTTCTCATCATCCTAGCTAACAGGGTGCTAGAAATAGAGAAAAGATCAGATAAGCATTACAGACACACCAGGAAGCTCAGTGCAAAGACACCCAAACCAAATGCAGAGCATCAGTTCTGCTACAAAGGATTGTTAGCTTCAATTCACAATGAACCAGCTGAGGTTTCATCTCAGCCCAACTCTTCTCTACTACATTCAGCTTCTTAGCTCAGCAACTCAGTAATACTGATTTGATTAATGGATGCCTTACCAAGCTGGGAAGAGTGCAATAGGAGGAAGGAAGAGAAAGGAGGACCAAAACAAGGATGCAGATCTATAATTACTTAGTGTTCAAATCCTTTGGCACTACAAGAAATTTACTTTTTAAAGAAGCAAAGAGTTGACACATGAAACCATTGTGGCACAAAGTTTGGATCTGACTTTTTCAGAAAAAAACAGATTTTAGCCTGAAAACTGATACTTCATCCTCTCTTAACAAGGGAGTTGCAAACAGGCACCTGCATACACCTGAAGATAAGGCAGAGTTCTCTTCTGTCATCAGACTGTATTCCAATCTCAAAAAGCTGTGTAGAAAAGGTTCATTTACATACTTAACAACTGGAGATTACATTGTCCCTCTTGTATCACTCCTTACCTGGAAACATCTTGTATCTACAGTTTCTGCCACAACACTGGCATTTACATCCTGATCAATACCACTTTAAACTCCATTATGTATTGCTTCCTCTCCTCACTTTCTTCTCAAAGTCTACCACTAAAAACATGGACTCACCAGAGGTCAAGATAGTGGGCCCAGAACTTTTGCTGCCTTAACAGACCATCCAAGACTTCTATCTTGTAGTCTATTTCCGTACTCTCACAGTATTTCTCTCTCTCCTCTGACTTTGTTCTGATAGAAAATAAACCTTCATTCCAACTGGGGGTCACTGGAGGGGATCGAAATTGCATTCATGACATCAGCAAGCACACACCTTTCCAGCAAAAGGCACATAGGGGACATCGTGCTTGACTTACTGTCTCATCTCACTGGCCTGTGGCATGGACTTTCCAAGTACCTGGTCCATTCCCTGCTCCTGTCCAAACAGGTAGCTGGATAAGAAGAGAACAGCACCACTCAGGAGAGATTCATGAAGGAATGCTCCAGGCCATTTCAAGAAATTAATCTTTGCATCCATTATATTTTTTACATGAATCCTATAGAGCTGTAATATTCCACATGGATACAGCCAATGCTACTTATCAAAAATTAGGTACCAGGCGATATGTGGCAGATTCACATTACTCTAATGCAAATATAACCT